TCGTCACAGATGTGACAACGAGAGTTCGCTACCTCGTCGACACTGGCGCAGAAGTTAGCGTTCTCCCAGCAAATCCTAACGACCGACTTCACGAATCGACTCTAAACTTACAGGCGGCAAACGGAAAACCGATCGCTACGTATGGCAAAAGGTACGTTTACCTTAACGTGGGTTTACGCAAACCCATCCACTGGATTTTCGTTGTTGCAGATGTTTCTATGCCAATCATTGGTATGGACCTTCTACAACACCACAATCTGATCATCGACACTCGCAAACGGAGGCTAGTAGACGGAAACACTAATTTGTCCGTTTGCGTAACTTCTTTTACTGGTTGTAGAGTATCCCCAGTCACAGTTAAGCATATGATAGACCCACTCTATCAACCACTACTCGATAAGTACCCTGGGATACAACAAACTCAACCGAAACTACCGTGTGTAACCAGCAATGTTACACATCACATCACGACTACAGGACCACCTGTATTTTCTAAAGCACGACGACTAGCTCCTGAAAAGCTAAGGTTAGCGAAAAACGAATTCGATCACATGATGGACTTAGGAATCATACGACCGTCAAGTAGCCCATATGCATCTCCGTTGCACATGGTCCCTAAAAAGGACAGCAACGATTGGCGTCCAACTGGCGACTATCGGCGATTGAACGCGAAAACCATTCCCGATCGTTACCCGTTGCCTCACATTCACGATTTGACAGCTACCTTGAAAGGTACAACTGTCTTTTCGAAAATCGACTTGGTTAAAGCGTATAACCAAATCCCTATGGCTACTGACGACATACCGAAAACAGCTATCATAACTCCCTTCGGACTCTATGAATTTTTGCGAATGCCTTTCGGTCTAAGGAATGCTGCTCAAACATTCCAAAGATTCATAGACGACGTTTTTCGAGGTCTCAACTTCGTACACGCGTATGTTGACGACTGTCTAATCGCAAGTCCGGACAGAGAAACACATCTCAAGCATCTGGATCTTGTTTTCGAACGATTACAAAAACATGGCATAACTGTAAACGTTCAGAAATGCCAATTGGAACCGACTCGTTAGACTTTCTGGGACACACTATCGATGCTCAAGGTATCCGACCCCTTAGAACCAAAGTGGCGGCCATTCTGGATTACCCAGAACCGACCACCGTCAAGCAATTACGCACGTTCAACGGCCTGGTAAGTTTCTATAGACGTTTCATACCGAAATGCGCATTACTTATGAAACCTCTGACCGACCAACTTCGTGGAAATGCGAAATCCATTAATTTGGACGACACCGCACGAAAAGCATTCTCCACAGTTAAGGAACTGATTGCTAAAGCAACAATGCTCGCACATCAGGACACCCGAGCACCCATTAGCATCGCAGTAGACGCATCCGACTCGGCAATCGGAGGAGTCTTACAACAATGGGTTAACAACTCCTGGCAACCCTTGGCATTTTTCTCTAGAAGGTTGCTAGACACCGAATCGAGGTACAGCACATTCGGTAGGGAACTCCTAGCTATGTATTGTGCTGTACGGCATTTCCAACACTATATCGAAGGCCGTGAATTCACTCTTTTCACGGACCATAAACCGCTCACTTTCTCGTTAAGCTCTCCTTCTGACAAGTACTCTCCCCGTGAGTCTCGACAACTGGACTACATTTCGCAGTTTACTTCAGATATTCAACACATCTCTGGAGCAAACAATGTAGTTGCAGACGCTTATCTCGCATAACTTCCTTGAACAGTTTCCAAGGAATCGACCTTCTTAAACTCGCCGAGCTTCAAAAAGAAGACACTGATCTTCAGCACGAGTTATCGTCCACAACACTTAAACTACGCATCAAACAGATGGGAACAGGTAAGGAAACCTTACTTTGTGACACATCTACAGGTAGGGATCGCCCAATCGTGCCGAAACATTATCGACGCAATGTCTTCAATACATTGCACAAACTTTCTCATCCAGGTGTTCGTGCAACCATCAAGCTTATAGCAGAACGATTTTGCTGGCCTGGCATGAATAAAGACGTGAGGGAGTGGGCACGCTCCTGTGTAAGCTGCCAAAAATCTAAGGTTATCAGACACAATAAATGTCCCTTAGGCTCGTTTAAAACTCCCGATGCTCGTTTCGACCATGTTCATCTGGATTTGGTAGGACCTTTACCAGATTCAAATGGATACTCTTACCTCTTAACCTGCGTAGACCGTTTCACTCGATGGCCAGAAGCAGTACCTATCAAGGACATCACTGCTGAAACAGTGGCCCGCACCTTCGTCGAACGATGGGTAGCAAACTTCGGCTGCCCTTCAACCATCACTACAGACCGCGGACGTCAGTTTGAATCTGATCTTTTCCGTCGTCTGACCACACTTTTAGGAATCACTCGCTTCCGAACGACCGCCTACCATCCACAAGCAAACGGGTTGGTAGAACGTTTTCACCGACAACTGAAAGCTTCGCTATCAGCTGCAAACGTTTCACAGTGGACCGACGCTCTTCCACTCGTCTTACTAGGTATCCGCAATGCAGTGAAAGCTGACATTGGATACACTGCGGCTCAACTCGTTTATGGAACGACACTTCGACTTCCAGGAGAATTCGTGGATCCTTCGTCCTCTTCAATGAACATGGATCTAACCTCCTACACGAACAGGCTTACAAACGCAATGCGTTCAGTTAAACCTGCTTCCACTCGACCTCAATCAACTGATGTTTTCGTTCAACCTGACTTACGATATAGTACACACGTTTTCGTTCGTCGAGACTCGCATCGACGACCATTCGAATCAGCATACGAAGGACCTTTCAAAGTTCTTCAACGTGAATCTAAGTACTATATAGTCGATAAGAACGGAACAAACGATAGCATCAGCATCGATCGCTTAAAAGCAGCGTATTTAGAAGGAAATCCTATTCACGTCGACTTTCCTTCGGTACAATCGCACACCACGACTCCTACACTCATAATTCCTCAACCGACAACCAACACTAGCGATGATACTCCGAATGTATCTGAAAATAAACCTAAAACGACGCGTTCTGGAAGAAGAGTAAGATTTCCAGAACATTTAAACGACTACTGCACGTAAGACACTACTCGATTTTTCTTTTGACAATATATAATAATAAAAAAAAACAATTTTAATATGCCTATATGTTTATATTTTTATTAAAAAAAACAAAAAAAACAAAATTATTTTTTAACGCTATTACGTGTGCTTGAGTTTATTTTCCATTTTTTCGCCGACATTGTGTTTTTACGCACATACGAGTGTATTTCGACATGCACTTACATATTCTTTTTTCTTTTCCAGGACGGCTGGAAAAGAACGATGCAGTTTACGAGGAGTCGAAATTTTCGTTGTAACTTTTTCTTTTTTACTATGTTGTACCTCGGTCCCATATAGTAAGGAAAGACGACCAGACGCTGCTACACTTAGTAAGCTATCAGAAGAGTGTTTACCAACGACAAACTCGTTGGGTTTAAACTTCTGGCTGGCCACGTCTTAGGGTCATCACTAACCCACTAGGGGGGAGTGATCTGTAGCGGTAAATAAATCCCCAAAATAAATAGCCCTGTAAGTTTTCGACATTGGATGCTGACCATATGTTTTAGTGGACTCATCTAGCTGAAGGCGCTCGGTCAGGCATCCGCACCAGATCACGTGTGGTAACGCCGTGCTCAACATCAACCGCAATCGCTAGCCAGATTAGATCAGAGAATTCCGATATATTGGTAATCGCCAAATACACTCTTCCGATCTCCTCGACTCTGTCTTTTGATTTCTCTTGGTGGGAACGAAATATATTGGAAGGTGTTACTGGTAGAAGCGTTGTCAAACACTAAATACTTGTGACACCATCAGTGTCATCCTTGTTGTTTGGCAATGGAACTCGAGAATATGAAATTAGGCAGGCAGTGGTCGGAAGAAAAGATATTACAGGATAGTGCATAGTTTAAAACAGGATGAGGTGTTAAGTGAAGGAACACTGAGAATTAGATCCAGATAACTATTTAGTCCTTGATTGCATTGCTAGTCAATGTACATTTGCTAGAGCTTGATTTTTAAACAAGTCTATGTCGCTGAAGCAGGTAAATGCTATTAAAGCTTGTTAACGAACCATCAAAGCTAATTAGTTGATATAGATGATCAACTTTTATTATCGACTGAGGTAGTAAGTTATGTGAACTAATAGATATAACATTACGATAATGTGACCATTAATCGAAGGACTATTGGAATACTGGTTTACAAAAATAAAAACCGATTGAGAAGGTTACGGTGGAAATAAGGATTAACAATATATTGTTAATCCTATTATTATAGGTTGCGTTTCTTTAGTTGGGCTCACCGATGTAGAACTATGGTCTACTATGACATTAGTGCTGCTCTAATAATAGACCTAATCCTAAATTTGTAGGTTTGTCATGATATAACTACGTAATCTATAAGATCTTACGTGGAAGTCACACCATCGACTACGCCAACTCACTGTACCGTATCAATTACCAATACATGATGTAGAACAAGGTTAGGCTAGAGAAGGAACAGTATATTTAATATGAATAGAAGACATAAGGTAACATTCAGATGGACCAAGCCTGCATGGCCGAGCCATGCCATCCGATCAAACCCAGTCCATTCAATTCATTGTTCGCGCCTTCTCCATTGTTAGGTATTTCTCCGCGTTAAATATTGAATATCTGTTTTCTGAGTATTCTCGTGTTCACAGCTTTGTGGATTGTGTGGCTATTGTCAAATGCCACCACAAAGTGACTAGGCTAACCATACGATATATATGATGTATAGCACCCCGTGAAGGCTAGTGCATGTTCTGAAGCGAGGAGAAATCGACTAACAAATTATCTATAAGTTTTTGTTGAAATGAACTATTATGAAACTGACGACCCTCAGGGACGCATCAACCTGAAGGTTAATATACCTCTTGTTTATCCTTGATGTTGGATCTTTGCATTTTTCACCTAGTTTGCTGAATGAGTCACTGTGACCAAGAAACTTTAAATGTGGAACAAACAGAATTTACAGTTGGTGATGTTGTATATGTCGGTCCTGGGACCCAGCGGATAGGTAAAATAGAATTCATCGGAGAAACGCAGTTTGCCAGTGGAGTGTGGATTGGTGTAAATTTATTTTCACCTTGTGGAAAGAATGATGGTTGTGTCGATGGTGTGACGTATTTCACTTGTAGTCCATTGCATGGAATATTTTCTAAGCGTGGTAATGTCAGACTTGCACCAAACCCTCTGCCTGAGGAATCCTGCTCAAAAGTAAGTCAGATTGCCAAAGTTTCTGCAATCACTCAATCAGAGTCTTTACAAACCTGGATGGGACTTTAAGGCCCAATTTGCTGATCATGGTGTCAAATACTTTATAGCCATACGTCTTGCGATCAGTCGATAAACCAGTATTAGTTCATTTCTGCATGCTATTTAGCTACTCACTACACATTTAAATGGGCCAAGGTCAAACTTTCACAGTGTTCTGTCACTTATAGGGCTATCAAGTTTCAGAGGGCCCTAGTTATCAGGAGGTTACTTAGTTACCATTTTCGTTGGGTTAAACGTAACAAACATGGGAGCTGTGCAACAATCGACCCTATGGTTTACATTGCTCTCCTGAATTAGTCTAGCATATGTATTCCGTGGTCATTTTGTTTGAGTGCTAGTAGATCAGTTCAACTCACATATGATCACATTTTAATCGTGCAAAGGTACATTTCTTTTAGTCATTATTATAAAGCTTTTTTTGTCCGATTTCAAATCATCCTAACGTCTGGTCTTCAAGAAAGTCAGGCTTGTCGTAAATGCAGGGTTAGCTTTTGTTGGACGGTAATCGTTCAGCCATAGATCGGAACATAATCCTTATATTATCATTTTATTGTGAGAGTTATGGGTATGTTTAAAGCATGGATCTCATCTTACTAGCTATGAAATGTCAATACAATCATATTTAAATATAAGTAAACACGGGTGGTTCGTAATTAAAGTGTTTCAACTTGAACGACATGAAAACTAATAAAGTGCTGGCTTCCATACTAGGCTCTCGGTCAGTCAATCATAATCAATAAAAAACCTAGCGCAAATGCGCATAGGCTCAAGTTACCGTCAAATCATCATAGGGTGACGGAATTTTGGGAATATAAAGGTTTTCGAATTAGTAGTATCAGTAGTAAAAAAGTAGACATACTAGACTCTAGACTGTACTTATTGTGTTGATGTCACTCATCTTAATTAGGCGTGGTCCTTGGACTTACAACGCGGCAACCAATCTCTAAGCAGCTGAAGTTATTGGGTATAGCAGCATTATAAAAGGGTAGGAAATATATGGAACGTCTGTTTTGTTGGCTGTGTCGATAAAATTGTTGTCTTGAAGTCGCACAAATTAGTGGTCGTATAAAGAAACTATGGTTGTCTGGTGACGACGTGTAGTTTTATGCTGAAAAACACAGGAACACCGTGTTGCGCTACTTGAATGCCACAGCTGAGCGTTATGTAAGTGATTTACTGAAGCTTTATAGCTAGACTGAAAAAGGTTATTTTAGTCATGATATTAATTTATGTTTTGAAAACTAGTTACTTACTTACTTATGCCTGTTACTCCTCGTGAATGAGTATAGGCCGCTCACCAGCATTCTCCATCCAACTCTGTCCTTTGCAATCCTTTCCAGCTCTTTCCAGTCATTGTTCATATCTGCTTTTATTTCCTGACGTAAGGTGTTCTTTGGCCTTCCTCTATTCCGTTTCCCTTCAGGATTCCAAGTCAGGGCTTGTCTCGTGATGCAGTTTGATGATTTGCGTAACGTATTTCCTATCCATTTCCATCGCCTTTTCCTAATTTCTTCTTCAGCTGGAAGCTGGTTTTTTCTCTCCCATAGAAGGCTGTTGCTGATGGTATCCGGCCAATGGATGTTGAGTATCTTGCATAGACAACCGTTTATAAATACTTGTACCTTCTTGATGGTGTTTGTTGTAGTTCTCCAAGTTTCAGCTCCGTACAGTAGAACTGCCTTGACGTTCATATTAAAGATTTTGACTTTGATATTGGTTGAAAGTTGCTTTGAATTCCATATGTTTCTTCAATTGTAGGAATTTCAAAACTAGTATAACTACCTAAATCTCAATTTGGACTTCTGATTTATTCATGTGAATAACTAGCGGTTTAAATTCCCTTCAATTTATTTTAGAGGATATTACAATGACATTGCAATCCGGTCTTAAGGTGATGTAACTTTCTGGTTATGGTACATTTTTTAATCCCGTGTTTGCAGATATGACTAAGCCTGTAAGTTAAAGGTTTGTACAGTTCCCTGTAATTTGTAGTCATCTGAAGCTACCAAACTTATGATATGGATAATTCTGTCTTTTAGTGCTTTTGTATCCTGGATTTGTCCAAATGTTTTGTTGCATTGAACACATGTCATGAGCTATTACTAAGTCGTCAAGATTATGTATTTTTTTGCTCCTAATATTTTAGGTTGGTTCAACAATTCCTGATAAAGTGCCAGACAATCAGTCAAAACAAAACAGCGTTTTAGATGTCGATAGTGTCTGTTCATCCAAGGTGTCTCTAGTGAACTCTCCTGCCTGTGCATCTGGGCGAAATGCTTTGCAAATCGGTGATCATGTTCAGGTTTCTGGAGGTCGAATCGGTATCCTCAGATATCTTGGGCCTACAGAGTTTGCTGTTGGTGAATGGGCTGGTGTTGAGTTGGATAGCCCTATTGGGAAAAACGATGGCTCAGTTTCTGGCGTACGGTACGCTATTCTGTTCTTTTTGTGATAATTCTGTAAAATTAGGTATTAGTCAAACTGTCAAACGTTATATTTCATTATAAATGGATATAGTATAAGAAGTCGGCGTGAAGGTAATGGTTTATATATGCACCAGGGGACTTTGGGATCGCTTAAGAGAATATAGTGATTTATATTGAAAGTGCCTGATATTTCCTCAGATTGCTTGATAAAATTGGTATCTGATGAAGGAACTTGAAAACTGATTTTGAACATATATATACTTATCTGATACCAGTAGATCATTGCTAGAAATATGCACCCAGTGCTCTACGCAACTTTTAAGTCAACTGATATTGTAATGGAATACTGTTCTTGTACTCCGATTAGAAGACAAAATTGACTATCTCTAGTTTAAGGTCATTTGCACTATTCGAAAGGTAGATATTGCTTATTCTAAAATACTAAAAATGATATTTTTTAGCATGATTCTACTGTATCAATTAAGTGACTTATTTGTCAAATTCAGGTTTGTTTACTGGGCTTTAAGTCACATATATTGTGTTGTTGATACTTCTCGGTTCCCCGAACGGAACTAGATGGGACGAAAATGTTTTAGTTTTCTAGCTACTATTCCATTGATGAATGAGACTTTTTATTTGGGACTTAGTAAGAGAAATGGGGCCTCCAATAAACATTTTGAAGCATGATGCTAAAGGACTGTCTTTGCGATCATTTCTTTCTAGGGTGTTAAAATAAACAGATGTCAATGAGAATTTCTGTGCCTATAGTGCCTAAGTAACCGATAGCTATTGACTGATCACTGTGAAGGTGAGTTTTTACTTAATATGTCCATAACTATGTTGGGGCTTCACATTACAAGCAGCCTTAACATAATCTATCCAGTGGGTTGGTGCTTTAGGTAAGCTTTGTCACTCTGTATGATTCTGTAGCCCGATGGATCTGACTCCTAGATCGTACGAATGATTGTTATCACCTTTTCTCGTATATCATCGTCGACTTGAATCGCGTTAGTCAATAATGGAATTAAATAAGTCGAATAACGAGAATTGACTTGAGAATACATATATTTTGAATATGAAGCGAATAAATAACAAGTTCAAAATATGACTCAAGTAGAATGAATAGAACGGAATGTCCGAAAGCTAGAATAAGATATATGGGCTTAAAATAATGACTGACACTACAATTCACTAACATTTATTTAATTTGATCCTGTTTTCTATTCAGTTAAAACATTAAGTGAGTATGTGCTTGTCTTTTATCACTAAAGCTAATGACAGTCCGGTCATCCTGTATTTTTATTTATTTATTGAAGGTCATTTTTTCGGTCATATAGACTTTGTATCCAGCAACAATATTGTTATTCATTTTAAATGTGTTAATATGTAATAAATCCGGTAGTATTTTAAAGTCTTATACTTTTAAACTTTTTTCTGCATAGATATTTTACTTGTAAACCAAATCATGGCTTGTTTGCAGCCGCTAATAAAGTTGTACCTGCCGGTAGTAAGGATGAACTTCGCACATCTGGTTTTGATGCATCAAAAAACAGTCAAACTCGGCAAGTTTATGTAGTGTTATTTTATGTTGGTACACTGTTTATATATTAAGCTTGGATTCTATATTTATTGATTACCTGAGGTGAATTCTCCAGCATCTGTTAGTATATTGCCCCTTCAACTATTAATTGATGGGTAACAGAACATACTTTTTGAAATATTCACTTCATGATAATGATTTCTAACGTATAAGTAAGAATGCAGGATGAGATATGCCGTAAATTTTTGACATGTTCCGTGATCAGGAATGCAATTCGATGTACTCACTAGCAGCCAAGTATTTGCACACAAATTTGGAGTTGTCAGTAAGGTAAATGTGCTCGCAAACAATTTAAATTCTAAACTTGAATTAGATGGAGATCCATTGGAAACTAGGGGCATTGGACAGTCCTTTCTTCTTAATTGAAACCATATCATCATGGATCGTGGTCAGATACTAGTTATCATGTAAAATCTCTAGATTGAATAATGTCCATAAGCCCTCCATCCTAACAATAATCGTTTACTTACTGGCGACTTTGAGAACTTCTGAAGTCCTTGTCAGAACCCATATTGTGAGGAGTGAGAAAGGTATCACTAAGGCTATGGATGAAAGTTGCTCATCATCTTATACTGCTTACAGTTAGAATTGATCTAACGATCGATTGTTCGCTGCGAGATCTAAACTTTGTGTTTCGACTCCTAGTTGGGTCGTGGATTCTCAGTACTAAGGATCCCAATACTAGAATGAAACATCTGTCCATTTCATCCAGTTTTTTCTATATTGTTTAATCGAAGTCAGCCCACGATGTAGAACCTCGAATTGTGACCTCCTATCATATCAGGGTCATCACTTTCTGATACGGAAACCACCAACTGATTACCGTTGAGGTTATTTATTTATTTAAACACAAATATTAGTAGACATAAATGCCATAATAAATATGTCACAAAATAAGAAAATGAGATTGTGAAGCAATAGAGAAAGGAAGGTAAATGTAATGAAAAACAGTAAATAAGTAAAAAAAAGTGGATGAGTGTAGTTTGTGGTGGGAGAAACCTTTCAGTTGTAAAAAACACAGTCACAAGGAATCCTTCCAGTTAAGGAAGTTCCTCTCGCTTCTGAAATATAGTCAAAGAAAATTACAGCAGGATCTACATTGGCTTATATTCTAAGCCATATTTAATGACATCCCATGCCACTGAGTTGCAACATCTCTTGTATCCCAACCTGAAAGTCATGAAGGACCGACAGACGCCAGCCCTGTGCAACTTTCCTTTGTATCCCAGGATCATGTTATAAACGGACTGTCCCCACTTTTCTAACCAGTCCCAGTGTCGGCAAATAAAGCGTAATGTGGAAGTCCGTAGCATGGCATTCGTAGCACAGCCAAGCTATCGAGGTTGGTGTTTCGAGCTGGTGACACCAGTTTAATTGTCGCCAGTATTCGAGCACATGTTGCTACACCTCCGTATTAATAACATGATTTTGGCACTGAATGTCCGTAATATTTCGGAAAAAAACAATAGTGGGACACATAGAGTTGCTTAGCATCTTCAAATTGGAGATGTCAGGTTTCGCAAGCGTGGAGCAAAACTGCTCTTACCGAGGCGTTGTAAACTCGGCCTTCTACAACCATGCTAACACAACGAAAGCGCCAGAGGTGTTCCAGATTGACACAAACTGCTCTGACTTTTACTTTACGTAAATTGGTCTCACCATTCACGCCACCACCCAGAACCTGCAGAGCTATCCAGATACACAGAACTCTCGACTACTTATAGCTGTTCATTATCAGGAGTGAGCGCAGGCACAGGGTCCTGCTAGTCTTATAAAAGTTCTTGGCACTTAGAAGGTGAAAAGCGCATGCCGTACCCACAAATACTGATTAACTGAGACTCTTATAGCTTGAGTACTATCGCACAGAAGGACAATATCATCCGCGTACTCAAGGTTGAAAAATCTTTCTCCAGGCAACAGATCAACACCACCACTATTTACATCCATCAGAGCTGTTTCCAGAACGCTATCAATGGCGAAGTTGGAGAGAAACAGTGAGGTTAGATAACCCTACCTAACCCCACTACTTGGACGAAACAATGGAAAGAGATGGTTGTATGTCTTCACTCTGCCTTGAGGTGCTTATATATGGGGCCTTCAAAATGTGAATAAACCTCTCAGGTACACTCTCCTTTAATAGACAATCCTAGAAAAAGTCCTGTCTAGCGAATCAAAGGCAGCCCTAGTATCAAAAGCACAACCATTGTTGGCCTACATTAGGTATGGCGCTGTTCTAATATTTGGCAGATGGTGATGATGTAATCAATACATTTACGACAAAATCGAAAGCCAGCCTCCTCGCGAGTCGGTCTTTCATGGGCTTCAAACTGTCCACGAAGTATGACGGAAGCTAATGATTTGGACGCAATCGAAAGTAAACTTGTCCCCCGATGTTTGTTACATAGGTAATGTGAACCATTTTTAAAGATAGGGACGACTATTTTCTCATTCCAGGGTATTGAGACACTAATTCCCAAACTTTTGTAAGCAACTCAGTCAATCTTCTGACAAGAGGTTCGCCACCTCCTTTAAAAAAGACCATTTGTAAGTCATTTAGGATTGGTGATCTATGCACTTCAGGAGTTGGATTTACTTGCAGATTCCTGCTTCGTTTGGTGGGTCAGTTTTCATCAACTCTAGAGAACAGGACAGTCTTATTGATATTTCCGAGCCAGTAGACCAGCTGGACTGTTCCTCGAAGAATACTACCTATCATTTAGGACGTTGTTGGATGCTATTGATCGGTGTCCTATCAGCATCACAGATCGCTTCTCTCACACCAGACTTCTTGCTATCAGTGTCTCGGATAAGTTGGAAGAGCTCTTCGTGATTGCCAGATGAAGCCACTGCTTTTAATCCTTTATTGTGCTCTGATCACCAGGCTTCTCGGTTTTTTACTCAAACTTTACGCAATTTCAGTACGTAAGAACGTCTGTCTGTCGTTAGACTCGCTGTTAGCTGGAGTAGACCGACGTGCCTCAATGAATTATAAGGAGCTTGTAAAAGCTCTGTGCTTGCAAGAGAGACGTTTAGCTAAGCCACTAGCGAATCTATTTGCCATTTTTCATAGCGTCAGGCAAATGCGGACAGTGCTCATCCATACTTTTCGGTGGGACGTGTTACATGTTCTCTTTTTACGACCGAACTACTCTTATTGCTTAGCATTCTTGGACAGTACTTCCCCAAGTCAGAACAGTGTTGAACAAGAACGTAATTACATTCTAAATAACAAGGTTGAATGTAAGTAAGAATCAAAATACGAAAAACGTTAATATATTTATGATTTTCACGTAAGAAGATTCTAGAGTCTTCTTTAAGCATCCGCTAGCTCTGATTCGTTAAGAAATAGCCAATTAGTGTGCCCCAACACAATCCTGCACCGAACGTGCTTTAATCTAATCGATATCCCGCTGATAGGAAGTTAGCTAACCTTGAACCTAGTTTGGTTTAATAATTGGTTTTATTGTAAGCTGTAATCAATTTGGTTGCATCAATCGGTTTAGAACGACAAATTTGTTAACCACTGCGACGTAAGATATGATTGACGCAAACGAGGGCATGATCAGAGCCCAGATAAGTACTCCAAAAGGAGTAGCAGTCTTGTGGTCTGTGCAAAGCTGCGGGAGGCGTCTACTGTTATTCCACCTGTGGCTAATAAGTCCCCATTAGCTACCTAAACGACGCTTCTCAGTAACTAGACTCTCGATCAGAGCATTTATATTTCCGGCTGGCATTACAATGTCTTTGCAGCTTGATGTTTTTTGAGACTATCATCTAACTGATTGTAGAACTGATCCCTGATTACATCTGGGCTGGAATCTGTCGGGGCTTAGGCGGAGATGACGAATGTGCGTCGTTCCCCACACCGATTTCTAATCACTTTGATGAAACTTTTTGGTCTAACGGCACATAATCGACTGGTTAAGAGAATCCAATGGATTAGTAATGCTTCTGCTCTGGGACCTAGTGCGACACTAACACCAGCCAAACCGGACAGAAGATTCCGAGATGAAGAGTGGACTCTTTCCACCCTTGGCCATGTCAGGGCATATGGCGTTAGGCGTAAAGTACTAGACGGAAATCGCTACTCGGTTGATAAGGTTATAAACCATAAACGATCAGAGTTATTGAAACATGCAAAGTGCATTACTAGCGATCGTCCATCCCTACACCTTAATGCCCACATAAGAGTAAGTTGGAAGATGTGGCATCAATTCACCAAGTCAGTGATTGTCGGCATGAGCCATGTTGGCACCCCTGAGATAATAATTTATTGTTTGAGACGTATGTCATGGCCCGAAATCAATCTCAGTAGAGCAGTCGCACTAGTCCTGCATCTTCCATCAAACACTAAGTTAAGCAACGTACTTTTCATCCTTCAATTTTTTTATTTCTTGCGAATTATATCGGTCATGTGTACCTCTACTACGCTTTTCATCTCAATTTCCTCTCTCTTCCTCTCCAGGTTTAGCTAAAAAAGTATCATTGAACATAGAATGTGGTAATGAATTTTGCTATCAAACGTAATACTTACACGTTAAGTTTCTGCAATAAGTGTTTCATGACGTTCACTGAAATCGTGGTGTTCATATCTCCCCTTGTACACATATATGGTTAACTGTCTTTATTTATTAATCGTAATTTTGCATTCTAATACAATAAAGTTCTGTCTTCATATCACTTTCTGGTGATTGGTTTATTTCGAGATTTTAAAATAGTTATTAAGCCCTCCAAGTTGAGTCATATATACATCAGTGCTATAGTTATTGTGCATGTGCCTTTTAAGGGTCTTTCAGAAATATACCTCTGATGATCTGGTTTGGCACAACTTTCCCTGATTAAAAAAGTTTTTCATTTACTCTTCATTTAGTGTTTTGTGTCGCTTAGTTGATAAAAAGCTATCTACGGCCAATTATTTATTTCCATCTCCATAAGATGAATTCTCTTTTAGAATTGATTCGTTGTAGTACAGGCATGTTTAATATAACTTTGGATATAGAGCTTTCAGTGGCCCGGGTATCTGACTCCAGGTAGATCTTTGCTGTTTGCTATTGAAATATACATCTTGACTGTTCTCGTATATAATCATCGACTTAAATCATGTTAGTGAATAACAGAATTAAATAAGTCAAACACGAGAATGAAGTTTTGAATATGTATATTTTTTACAGTCGTTGATCAGATAGCGAAGCAAAACAAAATGACGCATAATGGAGAAGGTGAGTGAGCCAACTCAGTTTAGCCAAGCGTGAATTGATATTTCTAGTTGAACAAAAATAAGTTACAGACATGTGATGAGTAAGATAAGAAATGCGCACACATACGCTTACATAAAAAGTCAAGGTTGATAAGCGAGAATAAGTGACAAAGTAAAAATGTGGCTTGAGAAGAATAAATAGATTGGTCTGTCCAGAGGCTAGAATAACCTATGTGGACTTGACATAGTACCAGCCTAATTATCTTTAAAACAGTAGTTTCCGTTGTTTTTAATCAATTTTACGTAGAATGCGTTAAACACTGTTTATCACATCTCCCTGAAAAAAGAGAGAATATCATTGTATATGATGGGTTCTCGTGTCACTTTTCATCGTTTAATGAGAAGAATGTTTCGCTAGCACAACTGTTGAAGCGATTTGCTTCGTAAAATAAATGACGTTTGGCATGTTTTCAAGCATAAGAATATGTATTTTTCTAGTTGAATGCAGTGATTAATATGTCCTTATGAAACATTAACTACCAATAATTTCATAGTAGAGTGTATCTCTTCTAAAATATTGCTATACTTGACAGACATATTTATTTGCAACACTTCATGTTTAATGGACAGTTTTATTTTTTAGAATCTAGATTTTCATTGCTTGTTACTTTTAGCAGTGTAAATCTTTTATTGTAATTAATTGCGACTTTGTTATTTTTATTTAAACTTTTGAAGCTAAACACAGTGTACTTAATCACGAAAAATTCATGTGTGTTGTCACAAATAGCTCACATCAATTTTGATGTTTCAATGGTAATATGTTGGTCCTGTAAACCTTGATGTCATCGACGAAATCCTACATTTTTAGAATAGTTTACATCATAGAATAGCTATAGGCATTCAACTGTTAAAAGTAATGTAGCGTTAGATGTGTGTCTTATTTCTATATGGGGTTCATCATTGCATATTCACGGCCTCTTAGGGTTCGAACTCAGCACTTCCAGGCCTTGGCGTAAGAGCATTGCATTTCAACCTAATACTCCGTGTTTCAAACGCTAGTTAACTCAATATTTTGCACGATCATTAGTCATTGTCTTTGTCAATATGTGTCTCACAACCAATGTAGTTGAACTTCAATGGGTTCGAGTTTTACTAGGAAGTCCTTATTACGATCCATCGTGGAGTTATGGATAAATATTATCGAGGGGTTAAATTCTGAAAGAAATCAATCATACAGCGCTTCTTAGTTTTTAGTAGTTGTGTAAATTAAATCAGTTTGCAGTGTAAATCATTTTTGAGTTGAGAAATCTTAAGGATACCACGCTAAAAGTCTTATGTTTCCTGAGACTTAACAATTATATTTTAGTGGGCGGAAATCTGTACAAGTGATGGCTATTTGTTTTAAATTTGTGATGTGCTTCTTGAGAATAACGGGAATGACTCGTCATTCTCGAAACCAATTTTCATAAAATTCGATGGATTTTTGTATTAGCCTCAAATGTTTTCGGAAGTTTAATTAAAATAGTTTATCCTTGTTGAAATTTAGTTCTTATTTAATTGGTTGCAAAAAATCATTTCTTTCATATTTTGTTTTTTACAGCCGGAGTCAAGAATCGTTACTATCCTATTCATCCAATTTGAGTTCAGTATCTCGCTCTTATCGTCTAAATCAAGTTAATAATGGATTACAGGTTGGTCTCTCTCTCTTTTATGTGCTTTTAACTAAAAATCATCAAATTAAAATATGACAAGTCTCTAGTTTATGAAGTCACCAACACTTAGTCTGAATTATCTAGAGAAGCGCAAACTTCCTGTGAGGGGAATGTTTCTGTGCAATAATAAAAAAATGGTTTTATCAGATTTTAAATTAAAAAGTAAGAACTCAGAAGACTAATGCGGATGTAGATTTACTGACTCTCTAAAAGCATGTCCAAGAAACCGAATTAAACTCATTTATTTACTGATTTTGCACACACTTGACGATTAGTTAATAAGCAGGAAAAATACTCAAAGTTACCGTAACAACATGTACGAAGTTTATACTAGATAAATACAAAAAATATGGTGGTCAGACTAGACGAAAGTTCACACCTGTTGTGCTGGATAAATGCATACTGAGTTCATACAGAAAAGTATTAGCTTGAAATAATATCACCTTTTCATCTTGTGATATAAATAAAACCAACAGTGGATCGCTTCATGTTATGATTTCATACCTTGAAATGCTCATCCAAAGCATTCTAGTTGTGGGACTCCTCCGCAGTGCGCATCCACGATCCCGCCTCGCGGGATTCGAACTATGGTGGTCTAGCTTCAATTGACTCACGATCTCAACTATTAAAATTACCATAATATCCACAAAACCCCTTTTGATAATAATAATATATTTTGTTTGATTACAATGTCAAGAGTCGTAATGGTGTAGCTGGTAACCGAAGACCGATATCATCAATGAACACTCCAAATCGTCGAGAATCTACATCTAATTTACAAACACTACAGGTTAGTTGTTTAACTATAAGTGTTCTTTTTTCTTCAGACTTCGTGGAAAGCGTTTTGTTTGGTATATAAATAGCAATATTCACTGTCTACTATACAGAGCAATTATTTAATAATATAACGACCTACAGTTTTCCAACCACCATTATTTCCATTTTAATTTCTTCATCAAAATAATGTATTTAGTCCAGACATAGTAAATGTGATTCATCATTTAGTAGTACGCCGATACGTGTTCATGCTATAAACTATCTTCCTATAGTTTTTATAATCTATCTTGATAGGAGTAGTTTCACAAGTCTGATCTTATTTATTAGAAAGTTATTGAAACTTGGTAACTGCTGTTGTTATTTCTCAAAGGAAGCACTTGTTAAATTAGGTATATATATATAACTGAGGAGCAGTATGTCACTTGTTAAGGTTTTGTATGCTCTACGTGAAAAATCAAATATTGAAATGTATCATTGGTTCTAATTTAAGTAGCTTAAGGAAAGGGGATAGTAAATGGTAGTTCACTTAGTCAAATATATATATAAAGTTGTAAAATTAATATTCAATTTCAGGGAGGTTTTGTTCCTATCTGCTTTTCAGCCTCCTCTCTGTCAGAATATTTACATACCTATCTTGGGAAATAACCAAATATATGAGTGATTCTTAAAATTCTCCTTAGTTTTTAACCTTTGATCAATCTATTATTATGTCATCTTCAATAGTGGATTAGTAGCTAAGGCGTCCGGCTTTCAAACATTAGATCTCAGGTTTAAGTCCTCCATATAATTCAGTCTAGGCAGCTAGATATTATTGCTGTCCCTCATAAAGTGTAAGTCAAAGCCAATTACACAAATCTGTAATTGATAAATCGCATTATCAACACAATAAAAACTATACAAATCCCTTATGATTTATTGATCAATCAATACCGTTTTGTTGAAGAGAATGTGAAATAATCTGTAGCTTAATATCAGTCTGTCACAGTTGTCGATTTTTTCTTACTTTCTCGTGAAAAGTTTTGTGCTTGCCAGTATAGCACCTATTATTTGGAATACAAAAACCCTATTATTATTATTACTATTATTATTATACGTGTGTGCTTTTTCAAGTAGTTTTTATGAGAGTTTATTTTCTCGTCACTATGCTGGTTTTCACATAATTTCATCCATAGCTATGAATTTAGAGGAAAAAAATCTAAATCAAATGGTGACGGGTAATTGTTTTCATTATGCAAAACAGAAGTAAAGCTGTTTTAAGTAATATAATAATAATAATCAATAAATGATTGGATATGTTGCTTTTTTCACATGTTAAACGCGTGATACCTTCAATTTTATGATAATTCATTGTAAACAATTCAGTCCTTATTTCATGCTCTTTCGGAAAAAAATAAACTCCAATGTATGGTATGATTGATTTAGCTGATAGAAATTATTATACACTTTAACAATGATTATTGTATTTAAACTTGTGAAAGAAAGGATGACCATTGATGCTTCACCGAGTAAATGATTTGACATGTACATGTAAAGAGAGAAATCTTCTTGCTGAAGCTGGCTTATGTATAAATGATTTTCTAAGAAATCAAAACGTATCGATGAAATCTTAATCAATTAGTGATAAACTTTCATTTCTTTTTGATTTTGTCACTAAATATCTTGATTTTAACATAAAATTTACCTTGAATTTTGACACTGTCTTCGCTGATAAAATACGTTCAATAGACACAAATAGACAAGGAATATGTATAATTTGTATGTATTTACGTAATCAATGGCTGTCGTGTAAGTTTTAGAATTTGTTAAAATTGGATTGGAACATGGAATACTCTTGAGTGAAATACAATGACAGAACAGCTGTTCAAACTCTGGTATGATCCTTTAGTGATACAAACAATTAAATTAACTAGTAGGTTTTAAGTTTAGATATTTCTCTAATTATCATAGTTTGAGCTACCACATAAAATCACCAGGCCTTAAACAGACAGTTTTAGTTCAAAGTTGAGTACGTCATTTGTGATCAACGTAGAGCCTGACACATATATGTTGGCCTACGTTACCATACTGCATTAGCACTATGAGGTACATTAGAAAAACAGCAAAGAAATTTGGACAATGTAGTGGCAGCGATGCTGCGTCAGACTAAATATTGAGAATACGGTCTGAAATCACAGAATGAAAATGCGAATATACTGTTCCACTGTGATTGATCCTGAGGCATGTCGTTGAAATTTTTCTACCATTGATCGTGATTATCAGTCAGTCAGTCAGTCAGTCAGTAACAACGTAGAACTTCGTACGTACGTACATCAGTTCGAGTTGCCATACCACATTAGCACAGAGATGCAGTGGTCGATTCAAATCCCGTAGTGGTAGGGGTAGTAAAAGTATAGGCAGTAGTCGGAAACATTAGGGTTTGAAGATGTTATTCAAGGAGTTAATCTAATGAAATAAATTTGGATAGAGAAAAAAAGGACATAAAGAATTCAGAAGATTAGAATTTGGGAGAACACAAAGAGTGGATGTACCCGTGCCATTGCAAACGATTTTGAGCCATGTCATTCAAGGTCTCTAACCATCGGTTGCTATTATCTCGATCATGATTATCATGTAAACCCCAACGATGTTGTATGCATCTATCGACGCTGCTCGGATCAGTACTTAGGGACTTCGTAAACTAAGGCTACGTATTGGTTTCGCCACCTATGACTTTTCCAAACTTCCTCCTAGACCAGCTAACATCATGGATCGACTTATGCGGTGCTCGGGCATCAGCTATTAGACATAATTATATACTTTTTTAATGAGTTACAGTTAACACTACTATTATTAATCACTTTCATATAGCTTCTGTCAGTTTATGGAGACCATTAACTTTTTCTATGTTTTTTTCTTTTTTACATTGATATTATGTGATGTCATCACTTCGCTATTAATGCGGTGTATTATTTGTTTTCCATAGCGTTTAGTCAAGGAAAAAGAAGCGCATATTGAGAAACTTTTACAAGAACGTGAAATGGAACGTTCTGACTTAGCTAAAGTTACTTTAGAAAGAGAAATGGCAAGTACAATTTGTTTGATTCTACTGTTTTTTCCTTTCTCCCCCTCTTTATATCTAGTTCATATCGATAAGCCACTGCTAACAATAAGGACGCATAATAGCTGTTTGTTATTGTTTTCACTCTGCATGCTACTTATATCCATGATTAGTAGTTGATAACGTGATAATATGAATAGCCAGTTTAAACTGCACACACTCGATGATATACATCTCTTTTTCAGGCCAGATTAGATTCAACTAGGATAGTGGAATTTTCTAAATCATTTCATTTTTGATCAATTAGTCCAGGAGAGACTGATCGACACCTTGATTCAAATCTTTCGGTTTACAAGATTTGCTGTTCATTGTGAAACTATGTGACGAAATCCCATCTTAGTTTGTCATATATTCATTTGTTCACAATAATTCATGACAAACTTTCTACATATAACAGATATCCATAATTGATTAAAATAGTCACTTATTAAAATTCATTAAAAACTACTAATGTCGTAGAGAGGGTGTTAAAATATCTTCTGCAGTATTTTATTTAGTCGAGAAATCAATATGTGTTCGATTGAGAAATGAGTAAGGGGGACTTGAGCAACACATTGTTTCACCCTTAATCTTACATAATTATCTGAAGTAACTGGCAAACAGTAACATATAAACACCTATATTTTAGTTATATGTGTCAGTCGTTCTATGATCAATTAAGTTCCATTTCTGTCAATGCTTTTATAAATACACTTTATTGTAGATTTCAGCAAATTTAACAATAATAGTAATAATAACGGCTTTATTCAGTATTATATGCTCAGTACAATAAGCAATACTTTAACATTTTAGTTATTCTTTGAAAATATTGTTTTTATATGTCAATTACAACAAACAAGTTAATATTAGGCCGTCTCATTTTAAACAGTATGAATAGCTTGCACTTTCGTAAGTAATTTTCCTTACAAATATATATCAGATCGGTTTTGTGGATATTATAGTAATTTCAATGGTTAAGATCATGAGTCAGTTGAAGCTAGACCACCATGGAAAACCTGATATTAATCAACATATGCCCACTAGTGACTGGCTTCAAGAGATATATCCTGAAGTTCTAGTGAGAAGAAGTGACCGGTGGAGTCCAACCAGGTCTGTTGTGAGATAGTAACTTACTGAAGACATTGGTGGGTATGTCGCTCAATTTCATGGATTAGTTGAAGTTAGACATTAACACCGTTGGATACAGGCTCAGTGGTCTAATGATTAAGTGCTCGCACGCGAAACCAGTAGGTCCTGGGTTCGGATCTCGCAGGGGGCGAGGTCGTGGATGCGCACTGCTGAGGAGTCCCACAATAGGACGAAACGGCCGTCCAGTGCTTCCAGGTTTTCCATAGTGTTCTAGCTTCAACTGACTCATGATCTTAACCATTCAAGTATATATCAGTCAGCAAATAATTGAAGGTTAATCTTAGTTTAAGCCTGTCTATCAGTGGTCATCCATCATCGTACAAAAATCCGGACCTAGGAGGTTTAGATCTCATAGAGAGCACGATATCAGTTGGTCAATAAATGCGAATCAAACAGTACTATTTTTTTTAATTTGGCAGATAAATGATATAGTGCTCTCTTGATTCAGTGTCTTCGTTGACTAAAGAGATCATAGCTTTTTTCTGAATAACTTTGGGTAATCCACCTTTTAAACTAATCACTTTTGAGCACATAATTATTGGTAATACAGTTTTGGCTGTGTTACATATGCCTGAACACCGATTACCACGACGAGCAATGCTGACTATCCTTGGGGATGAATGGAAGAAAGTTAGAGGCGGCCGAATCAAAACGTGGCACCAGTCCATAAATTTTTTCCAACTATTCAGAAGATATAGATTATTATGGGAATATTCGGATGGTTAATTCACTTTAAAACAAAAGAATTAGAAATTAAAGAATGTTGGCGACTGGTTGTTAAATGTAGTGTATCTAGTAATTAAACCATTATTTTATTATAAATGACTCTACAGATCGTTAGTGCAACTTCTTCATACATGTGTACACATGGAGAAAGAGTTTACCAATCAATTAATTTTTTTAGTCAAACTTTTTCTCAACAGTTAACGTAATGTACTCAAACTAGATATTTAATAGTGATTTTGTTGAGACTGTAATTTATGGTCGACCTCTGAGCGACGATAAAGTAGCCATGAGACAATTCACCTACTTAGTAGGATCAAAAGAGGGTTATAACTTAGTATGGGGATTTAGGATTAAAGCAAGGGTTTTCATCACGAACAGACATCAGCTATAATGCTATTTAACTATATGGATGAATGAATTTTGCGCCAAAATCCAAGATCTGATATCCTTAATTTCATTTATTAGTCTATAAATTATGGTCTCGCCGTAGTTTTTATACATAAAGTCTTACTACTTAAGCAAGTAACAATTCAATTATTACTTTGAGAAATTAGTGGTCGTCTTAAATGTTAGAAAAGTAACTTATTTTTTTATTAAAGACAATAGAAACAAACATTGAATAAGTTAGTATTCTGTTTTATTCATTTCACTTATACATAAAAAACCAGCTGAAGAGTTGATATCGTTCAGTAAACTTCTCACATATACGCATAACTTTATTTACTCCATGCAGTATATTTATTTATGTTTTCGAATCGAGACTGTATAGTGAATCTAAAGAAAAATGAAACTTCTTAATTAAGTAAAGGGGTTTTGTATAGATTAATTTAATTTATAGGTAGTATCCTCATAGACTGATCTCAGCTGAAACGCTATTGATAAGGATAGAACACTTGATAATTGTTTCATCTTAATATGGGACTTCCCACTAGTGAACAATCATAACTGTTCCAGGAATTAAACCCAAGACCATTATTTCATAGATAATTCAATCTTTACTAACAATCAGTGGAAGTATTAATAATATTTTTGTAATTTATAGCATATAATAAGCTTAGTACAATAAAAAAGGATGTACATCAAGTAGAATAAAGTGAAAATGATATCAGTGAGTAGATGATGGCAATATTGTAGAAAGAAACAAGAAAAAGTGTTAAAAAAATCAACTTTAAAGTAAAAAAGAAATCGTCGCAAATTTCGTCCGGTTATAACAGAAAAATGCAATAGGATCATCCATAGCTTTTATTAGGAACCTTGTTTGATAGCGTTTCAATCTACCAACTTGTAGGATCTTTAAGATCCCATTCAGGCAGTTTATATATATTAACACCACAGAATTGTTTTCTATTCAGTGGCATCATGTCATAAATTCACGAACAGACACAAAGTCCTACTAGTCTTGTACAATTACTACTGCTGTGGTGTAAAGTATGTAAGCTACATATTCTTTAAATGGAAACATAGGATGTATTTATTAGTGAATATTTCTGTTATATCCTAATGAGTAGATGAAGTGCATTCCTGACGTTTCGTGACTTAATGTCAGCCACTTCTTCAGAATAAATAAATGACCGAAATAAATTAACATTAGTTTAACTCAGTCAGTCAGTCATTCAGCTACAACGTAGGACCAGGCACATATATGCATCGATTCAAGTTGCCATACCACATTAACACAACAAGATGGACACCGGATTCATAGGAGTGGTTAGGTCAAAGGTGGTAATATATAGGAGAAAGATTGCATATAAGGATATAGTACAGGAAGAAAGAATTAGTTCGTAGAAAGAAAGATATGAAGTGATTTTAATCTCTTAGTTTAAGAGAAGACAGAGAGTGTATACACCGACGCCATTGTGATCGATTCTGAGCCATGTCACCAAGAGTCTCCAACCATTGGTTACGAAAGTCACGCGGACCCCAACCAAGTAGTCTGCATCTACCAACATGGCTCAGACTAGAAGTTAGTGACTTCAAGCACTGATGCCACGTTTTGGTTTGGCCGCCCCTAACTTTCTTCCAACCATCCCGAACACCGGTTAGCATTGCACGTCGTGGTAATCGGTGTTCAGGCATACGTAACACGTGGCCCAACCATCTCAGTCGATGAAGATTCATAACCTCATCAACTGATTTACCATCATTCCCTAATACCCTGCGTCTAACCTCACTATTACTTACCCGGTGATCCCAGCAGACGCCAGCAATATTTCTAAGGCATCTGTGGTCAAATACTAGTAGCTTACGGGTGTCTTCTACTCTTAATGGCCATGTTTCGCTGCCGTAAATTAAAACAGAACGGACTGCCGCGCAGTATACTCGTCCTTTTATTGATAGACGGATATCTCGCCTTCGCCAAAGGTGACGTAAGTTGGCAAAAGCCAAACGAGCTTTTCGAATCCGTGCTGAGATTTCGTCAGACACCAACCCATTAGGGCTGATCAGACTTCCAAGATAAGTGAAGTTGTCAACGCGTTCGACTACTTCACTCCCTATCCTTAGTTCAGGTGTTGACGCAGACCAGTCCTGAAGCAACAACTTGCATTTAGAGGGAGAGAAGCGCATTCCAAACATTCTGGCATTGTTGCTTAGTGCTCTGCATTTTGTCAGCGTCTTCACCAAACAGGACTATGTCATCTGCGTATTCTAAGTCGATAAGTGGACCTCCTGGAAGGAGATCAATACCCGAGAATTCAGTCGACGAGAATGTTATTTCCATCAGTAGGTCTATGATGAAGTTAAACAAAAATGGGGAAAGTGGACAGCCTTGACGGACACCACTTGAGGTTGCAAAAGTAGATGACAGTTCGCCATAAGCTCTGACTCGACTAGTAGTGTTCGAGTAAAGAGCCTTCACAAGGTTTATGTACTTCTGAGGTACGCCTTTCAATGACAGACACTGCCACAGAATCTCGCGGTCTACAGAGTCAAATGCTGCTTTTAAGTCAAGAAAGACCACCATTGTCGGACGCCGATAAGTATGCCTGTGTTCTAGAACCTGACGAATGGTGAATATGTGGTCGATGCAGCCACGACCAGGTCTAAAGCCAGCTTGGTTCTCTCGTGTTTGCAGTTCACGAGTCTTAGTTAGGCGTCTGATAATTATCGAGGCTAGTATTTTAGATATTATATTAGTTAAACTAATCCCTCTGTGGTTGTCACAGGATGATTTTGACCCTTTCTTATATATTGGGACGATAAGTGATTGCGACCAGTCAGATGGGATAACGTCTAACTCCCAGATCTTAGCTAAAATATTAGTCAACCTAATCGCTAAAATTGGACCACCATCCTTAAAGACTTCTGGAGCCAATCCATCTGGACCAGCTGCCCTTCCTCGTTTCAGATTAACTATAGCCTTTTGAACTTCAGCAAGAGTTGGGGGACCTACTTCAATGTTCCATTCACACTGTCTGGGAATGGAGGGTAGTTGTAGAGTAGCTGAAGGCCAGCTGAACTGTTCTCTAAAATGTTCCGCCCATCGTTCTAAACGTCTGGACTGGGAGCAGATGAGAGTATCGTCTTTTTCCGAAATAATCTCACTTACACTTGACTTATTAATTCCAGTTTCTTTTATTAGTCTGTAAAGCTGTCTTGTGTTCCCTATAGTCGCCGCCTTTTCCATCTCTTTTGCTTTCGTTGCCCACCACTGCTCACGGTCGTTCCTTAGACTTTTTCTTAACCTAGATCTGATTTGTTGTCGCTCTTCATCATGTTCGGAACCTGATGGGACGAGTTTGCGAGAATCCATCAGTGTGATAGACTTTGAAGAAATCCACTGGTTCTTTGAAACTCTGTGGTTTAAGTCACTAATAGATGTCACTGCTGTTTCCACAGCTGTTTGTATATCTTTCCAAGCAACATCTGGGTCAGCCTCGTCTTCACAACTACCTAAGTGTGACCTCAGTTGTTCCTGGAACCTACTTTTGGTTTTCTCGTTACTCAACTCAGTTCTAATGGGTCTTTTTAATGTGGCTTTTTTGCGTCCAGTGAGGCGCAAGCAGATGCGTGCCCGTATTAGGGCATGGTCGGAGTATTAGTTTAACTAGTACTTTTTAATCTGGGGTTATTAGAAAAGCCTAGTAAACTGATTCAAGCGTTCATTTAGAAGATTTATCACATATATGCACCTCTGCAAATAGTATGCGGTAATAATATAGTTAGTGATCTTCAAGTTACTCAGTAACACTGGTTACAGCCTTTACGAGTGTGATCAATGGGCGTGAATGTTATCACTTATTTTGTATATCTAAGGGAATAAGTAATTGTGGTTAATTCACCAAATTGCTCGGGTGATTAATTAATACTTTAAAATATCTTTTCTCAACTTGTACCTGTTTCTACAAGTTTTGTCTTAACAAGCATTATTGCTTATACAATTTTGCGCATTATATTTGGTATCGACTTAAAAATGATTTAGACATTCATACATTGTCCTAATCTTTTTAGAACTACCACCACTGCTATGATAAATCGCTGAACTTATCACGTATTATCATTTTAATTAATTTTACTAAATTGACCGGTGTTTTTTTCTCGTATTTTAATAATAAAAAAAATCATATTTGTAAAGGCTCAAGCTGAAACATTGAATCAGCAAGCTGTGATACAACAATTGAACCAACAATTAGAAAATATGGAAGCTGTTCTTCAACATTTACGCGATGAACATGAGCAAACAACAATTAAGCTACATGAAGAGCGAAAGTGAGAAATCTCTCAGATGTGTTCTTTTGTTAATGATATTTTAATGATTTCTATTTATTTATTCTATAAAATCAAGTTTATTCAAAACATTGGTATAGATATTATCCAGTTATAATGGAAAATTCTTATTTCAAAATAAAACAAAAAGATACAATGATGTGTACTAATCCAAATAGTTACAATTAACGTCGTCATAGCTACCTTAAATAAAGAGAATGAAATAGAAATAGTGATATCAAAAATAGTGTGATGAAGTTGAAAGACGATGAAAGAAAGCATAAAACCAAGTAAATATGAAGATTGAATTCAATTTTCAACATTTATATTGGGGAACAGACTAAATATTTTCCGTCATCTATCTACTGATTAATGGTGTCTTGTGAAATTTAAGTAGAAACATTATTCGTCCTTTGGATAATATAAATTAACAATCAATGACTTGTTAAATTGATGATATATGTTCTTTTCAACCGAATTGCGTCTAACACTCCATTTTTACTCAACATATAGTTTTCTATTCTTACTATTAACAGAGAAGCCTTGTTGAACTCATAAATGGTTGCATATGGCTTTTTTCATGTAAGATTCTTCTAATCCCATATGTACATACTTTCACCATGTAGTTAGTCGAACTTCTTTCTTTGAGTTATTTATCTCTCAGATTCGTTTTTTTGTTACTTTAACTCGATATATGACGTAGTACTGTAGATGGTGTTCTCGAATCTGTGTTTTCTTGTATTCAGCTTCACAAACATCAGGTCATCGTTGGCAAACATGAATTCCCATAAGTATTTTATACCTAACGTCCAAGTAGACAGTTATGTGATTGTCATCTTTGAGTATAAATTTTGTGTACAAATTTTTATGCCTAGTACTTAGACACTTAGACATAGACTTCCTAACCGCTATCCAGAAACCTTTTACTTCTGAATTTCAAACAGGCAAACAATAAACGAAAACTATGAAAGCAGTTTAACTTCCAAGGTTGTTATATATATATATATATATATATATATATATATAGTTCACAACACTAAGCTTCTGGAAGCTTCTCGAAAATGTGCTAAAATCAATGACAAACTGAAGATATAACACAATATTCTGTTCTCTTGAATTCTCTTGGAATTTCTTAATAAACACTGATTGGTCAAAGTATTCTCTCCAATCTTACGACCTTTAGAGTTTTTTATCAAGGGATTATTGAGGGTTCTGAGCACTAATAACTTGATTTATAAATTTCTTCGCTCAATTTAACTTTCCACTACGGATATTGATGTAGTATTGAACGAGGACTATGTATATTTTTGAATTTAAAACGTATATTTCATATTTATTACTGAGGATTTATGACTATATGCAGTTGACAGTCTACAAAAATAACGACGTGAACTGGAAGGAATTCTTTTCAGTCCAATTGGTTGCCATCAGCTACTTGCAACAGATAATATTTAAAAAACATCATACAAATTTAATGTATCAAAAGTTCTTTTAATTAAACGTAGAGATAGTTTGAAGAAGTTTATGCATGATGAAAATCAAATTAAAAAGATTTAGTAAATTGCTAGAATTAGTTATCATAATTAAAACAAAGTTTTGGTGTTTCGATTAAGAAAATGAAAAAATATATCGAAGCTTGAAATAAGCGTTCATGTAGTGAAGTGAACAGAAAATTACGATTGTTAAAAGTAAAATTCATTCGATTGAAACAAAATTATAACTTTGCAAGAGAGATAGATTCATATGAAATTGTTTTCTTCTCTTGATATTTGCTTGACATAATTAGTAAGTCAGTAGTCGACACTAGATTTGGTTTATACATGATGCATTTACGTGATACATTGGATACCAACTTGGAGGTATTACAGTAACGCTCTGGAAAATAAGCTTAAAGGTCCTGGCTCCCCTTTCTAGGTAGCTTCACGAGTGCGCTCTACTGATTAACATCAGATAGAAATGGTATAGCTTCTTAGTTTTCAATGATTGTCCTGCTGAATTCAGTTCATGGTGTAAACACCCTTCAGATGAATCAATCGGCCGAAGTATATATATATATATATATATATATAAATTTACCTTTTTCTCTACTATGCCTAATTAACTTTGTCCTTGAAAAGTTCAGAATACAGCCCAACCTTATTCAGTGAACAAGTGTGATATTCATTGTACAATTTGACCTTAAAGTCTATTATGTATAACTTATTCATGCAACATAACTCAATTATTTATTCACTTATGATCTGATTTTTTACTCTTCATTGTTGTCCTGTATATGTTTCTTTTTCATCACACTTCTAAATTAGTATACTTTCTATTTATTGGAACGTTTGAATTCTCATATGCAAATATTTTGTGTTTGAGTAGAAAAAGTGTTTTGTAGTCATATTCGACTACAATACGCGCTTCCTGCTGTCCGCTCAACTAGCTAGTCAAAACAAGACTAAAAATACATAGAATCCTTATACTACAGGGTGAATAAATATGCACATAATTTGTGACATAAATATAATTGATTCATTCACCAGGTACTTAGTTATGAGCTATTGAGGGTTGCCCAGTTGCTTTAAACCGAAGTGAATGGAATGAGGCTCAAGCCTGGAACTAAGCAGTGAAAATTTAAACGTCTTAACCAATAAGCCCCCACTCCACTCATAAATCATGAGTATATATGCAAAACAGTGAATGGATCCAGATACAAATGTGAGCGGTCAATGAGCATTAAAAAAACAACTCGCTCACGTTTATTTCTCACTTACCGTGTATATTTACTTCAGCATGTATTCTCTCTGGACTCTCCCGGCCTTCTACCTGTAAGTTTTCATGTTTATTCATTTGCTCCAGTTGATATCAAGGCATATTAAGAACATCAGTTCGTTTAAGATTACGGGTATGTTTTAGTGGTGTAAGACATTTAACACGAAACCTTGATCTGGAGTTTTTAGCACCAAAAAAGGTTTATATCTTGTCATACTTGGCTGTTTAATAAAGCTCTTCATAACTAAGTATAACTATTTATTGTTTTATTTTTAATACATTCATTAAAATTTAAATAGAAATCTTGAAGATTTACAATTTCGAATAGAAGAAGAAAACATTGACAAGAGCACGATTGAATCACAGAATGCAGACGATGAATCGAAAATATTTGAACTGGAAGAAGCTTTAATGTCAGCCCGTGAAACGAATGAACGTATGGAATTAGAATTAAATAAATTACGAGTAGAATTAAATGATCTTTTACAAAAACAAACAAATGTGTCAAATCAAAATGATGAAAACAAATCTCAAATTCAGGCAAGTGAATTAAACATTGGAAGTTGTTTTTTGTCGTACAGTTTTATCCCCAATAGTTACCGATATGAACATTTTCATTTAAATATTTCGATTTACAATAATATCAACATTGCTTATAGTTTGTAGTTGAGTGCTAATGAAATATTATCTGTAAGCATTTTATTTATTTATTTAAACATAAACATTGGTACAAAGAGGTACCAAATATATATGCGCCACACTTTGTCATTCGATTTATGTAAGGGCTGGAATACTGCCCGGGCGCCCAAACCGAAGCAGGATCTGTCAACAGTTATACAGATCATTGTGTTCTGTTCTAACATCTAGTCTATGGCTTGATATTATTGGTGGTATCATCTTATTTTCTCTGATAAAACTACAAAATTTGCTTTGTTCATCAGTAGGTTATGTCATGTTAGTATAAAGAGCCACTTCTCCGATGAGTCTGAAAGCATCAAATATTTTAAGGAAATGTCAAACATGGCGTTCATTAAGATATAACCGTCACATGCTAGAAAATGAAAGTTGTTCTTGTCACAATAATTATGAATTCAACGGTTTCATTCACTTTTACTCTCTCAAAATATCTTTTTACCTATTTCAGTTCAGAGTATGCATTTCACTCGAGACTGTTCACTTTGTTCTCAACTACTGAGTATTGTTTTTTTTTTGTGGTGTATTAATCCATGTACCATGTACATAATCAAGAATCTAGCTGAACTTCTTCTTACCTTAAAGTAAATGAGCGAAAATTTCTGTCACCTTTCTCCTCCTCTCTCGTTTATTTACTTTTGTCTCTATCTTTTTGTGTCGTGCATGTTGATGAGATACTTCCAGAATAGTAATAGAATGAGATTTATTTTTGAATTGAACACACTGATTTTTGTGACAGAATATTCATTGTTTATGATTTTAGTCTACACAACATGATAATGACGATTAGTATTTTTGCGTTCATGCGTATCAATACACAAATTAATCAAAGTGTATAAGATAGATTATCTCTGGGTTCATAAACATTTAAATATGTGTATATTCACTACTTCACTTAGGGTACAGAACTGCAATTAATTTAAGAGACGGTTAAATATAGATTACTTTTATGCAAATGATGTATGTTATTTATCATGTACTCTTCAAATTTCATTAGCCTACTTTCTTTTTACTTTATGGCGTAACAGCATTTAAGAGTAGGAGATGTAAAGATATGTTTCCTTTCTTCATGTTCTCTAAATTGCTTGTGCGTTGTTGAACCTTGTTTTGTTTGAGGTAAAATTCCTTTATGAGTGTTGTAAAGTTCCATTGACAGAAGAGAAAATGACAAAAATCAATAAAGTTGTAGGTTTTGATGTGGTCATGTAAAAAGATGTCGATTATACGATGTACTTTACTTGGTTATTAAAGATAAGTGACCCCATATCATAAGTCCTATTGCTTCACGATCGGTTATTTCTTTCCTACTGGTTCATCTCAAGAATTTTATTCCTTGGGTGATCGTGTTGTTTATTCTTACGTTACTCAAGTGTTCGACATTTTGAGTTTCCATATTATTTCATGATGTTCTTCATTCTATCAGTCAACCAGTTGACATAAATTGTAGTTGTGATAGTACTGTTTTTTGTCAGTTTTTGTCGCTGCAATTATGTTTCCCAGTCTTCATATTATATATTTTCAATTTATACATGTAGGGAAAACCATCTCTTCAATTCACTGGGCTTGTATCTGAAACATCTATTACTCCAACTGAAAACGAAGGCGAGTCTTTCCAAAATGAATGTGAACGGTTGCGTAATTTGTTGGCTGAGCGTCAGGCTGAAGCAGAAGTTATGCTAAAGCATCAAGCTGAAACAATTGAGTCATTAACGGTTGAGTTTAATGGACAAGTTGAAAAACTAAATTGTCAGTTGCAGAACTCTTCAAAGTATGTTTGCCTTATCCCTGTGATTTATCAAGTTATTTTAAAAAGATTTTAACAGCAGTAGTAATCGTTCGATTTGATACTATGAATTTTGGAACAACGAAGAATTCTCATCACCAATCGCACAATATTACAATAAATAATCTCATTAACATTTATTCAAATCGCCATTATTTAAAGCATATTTTAAAGGTGTTTTCAACAGTCAATGTTCTATTACAAGTGTCAGCCGATATATAGATTTCTCCATTTATCACATATAAGACACTTGAATTCTTATATTCTTGTCTCTCGTTTTGTCAATGAATAAATCATAAAGGAGATTTGCCAATAGCTGGTGTTTCTGTCTGAGTTTTCCAGTACTTACACTAACAATAATTTGTAGTTATTTCATAATAGCTCGTAAGTACATACAGCTTTCATAAATTTTCAGTTCAAACAAATCATAAGTAGGCAGTTTACTTGAAATATTTGTACATCTGAAAAATAAGGGAGGGGGCTGATTGTTTGACCAAGCTACTGTTAGGTAAATGTTTATTTCTATAACATTAAATGATTAGTTTTTCCCTACTCTCTTCCCTTTAAATTAGTGATAACCTGTAATCCTCGCTCATTTTCACCATACTTTCCTACTGTTTAGTTAACTTTAATCCCTAACCTCAATCGTAATATTATTATATAACATGACGCAACAAATAGTTCTTTATTAATATTTGGGACTAAAATTAGTTATTAGGTTTCGACTCTTTCTTTTCATTTCGTCAATTTCTCATTGCAATGTTGAAATTGTATGGCATCTTAGATTGCGGTTATCACTTCCCGGTTGCCCACACCGTGGAAGGGTTGTTCTGAAGGTACCTGAAAAGGAAACTGGATTAGAGGTGGTCTTGGTGACCCGAGAGCGTGACCGCAGTGCCCAAGGGACAACTGCTTGAGGTCGGTCACACACGACTTTTTATGAGTAATTTCCGTGTTAGCTCCGTAATCGTTGAGACCTTACCACCGGAGACGGATATCCGTGGGATAAGGCGAGGTGTGCATTTTTAGGGTCGACCTTTTCTAACCCCACCCCTCCTTGTGGGAAGACAGCATCGCTGTCATGCTGGTTGTCTGAAGGAAACATCCTACTGCCGTCACACCTCTGTACAATCAGCAGTATGACTTCGCCTTCGGACCTTGGGTTTATTGCTTTTAGTCTTGCCGCTCTTCAACCGACCCGTCTGACATGGTAGAACTTTGATGAACGGTTGTTCCAGCCAATATAGCTCGGTTGCTTCATCACGATAGGTAAGCATGACCACCACATCAAGGTGGCAACAACGGTCGGGAATTCGATTTACACTAAAGAACTAGACAGACATGACATCAATAGCTACTTAATGTCTGATCAGCTGTAAAAATTTGTCAGGACGTTAGTCTCTGCACGAATTGTTCAATGATAAGGTCTCAGACTATGAAGCTAGATGACTAAGTCCGCTAGGGAACACCGGTTCCCTCACGATTACAAATACACATTACTGAAGAACTCTCAATATCGCAAAACTTATGTCCAGGTTTTCGTCTCAGCTACAGCCAACTACCTCACACCATTCCATTGAAGTCATCTGGGCAAAGAATACGATTTAAACATAAAACGTGAATGTTATTTTTTTAACTTTGACTATGCATATTGTTATTATTAAACTGCCATTTATTTGTTAGTGTTTTCCGTCGTCAGTTCACTACACAACATGATTATCCCACGTAATAAATTAAACTACACCAGTTATTTCGACCTTTATATATGTTATTCAGTAATATATGACTTTCAACGTTTATCTAACTTATAACGTTTCATAATAAGAATTCATTCACACTTTTTACAACTGGTCTGTTTCCTTATTTTAGTGAAATTCAAGCATTCAAAAACGAGAATAATTTACTGAAACAACAGAATAATGAATTAGTCCTAAGTTTAAAGAGTCAAATTGATCAATTAAATAAACAGCTGACAGAACAAGAAAAAATTGCTAATGAAAAATTATCCATGTTTGAAAATCGGATTAAAGAGTTGGTAAGTATGTTTTAACAGTATTATTTATTTAAGGTCTTGTCTATGTTACGTGGTTAGAGGCAGTCAACAGGATGCTCGGGATCCAAGTTTTATACTAATTGAGACTGGTCAGCAAGGCGCGTATATGTTTGAGAGGGAGCTGATGCTGTCCATGAAATTCAAACACTTGTGACTCAGTGTTAATCAGTTATAAACAGTGTTGAGCCTTGGAAAAATGTGCGTTAGCACGATTTCTGGACTAATTCAGCACAAAAACATGAAATGACCTAAATGAGTGGCAGATGAATCGGAATAATATTGTAGTAGTGATCATGCGAAAGGCCACATTGAGAATATGATTCGAAAAGAAATGACGGAAAGGTATGTTTGAAGGAATATTGAAATTCAAGATATAGAATTCCACTGTGACTAATTCTGAAACATTTTGCCCAACTTCAGTCAGTCAGTTATCCTTGGCATCATTGGTACTTATTTTAGATAGAAGTGAGCTGTCAGGATCTCGTCATTATTGACTGACGGCTTGTTCTGTTGACCTGGGATGTGGTTGAGTGTTGTTCATGACTAAGTAGTCGTTGTTTGTATTGCTTGTTTTCTCTCCTAACTTGATCTCTAACCTTCTTGTTGTGACTCCTTTTTCTTATTGTCTGATAGCTTTGACCAGTTTTGATATGCCTATTGATCGGTACTTGACTAGAGTGTCACGCTTCTAAAGTCTAACTTTCTTTTTGTTTTATTTGTCCAATTTTCCGATCTTCCCTTGATTAATTCCATGTCCTTAATTGTCCACGTACGTTGATATAAGCGAAGCTATTTTTTAGTGTTTAACTGTTAATTGCTGTTCATGTAAACGTAGACGAAGAGAACAGCCACTTTGTCCCACATAATGTTTGCGTTAGAATTGCTGCTACTTATCTTGTAAATGATGTTCGGTTTGTTTTCTTTCGTCGTTCTATCCTTTGGGCTAGATGTTATTTATTGTTACCTGATTGTTACTGAGTCCAGATATTTACTTACTTGTGTAGTGAAGTGAATTTTAATTTATATGTATTGGATTTTTGGATCTTCCCATTAATATTTAGGACTGCAATAGGACGAAACTCTCGTCCTGGATTATACTGCCAAGCAATATCCACATCTGTCTAAAATGTTCGTGGCTTAACGCCAATATTGAGGCAGTCCGCGTAGGATCCACATACTAAGAGTGATTGATCATTTTCAGTCCTAACCATCGATAGGGAGATGCAAACAACCAAAATACATATAATCTTGCGATTGTTTTTACACCATTATCTATTTGTTGTGGTGTCTTTGAATACCTTTTAGAGTGGAATGGTTGGATTTGCATGGGTTTGAGCAGTCAGGGAGTGTGACTGACCCATACACAAAGTATAACTCACGCCCATGTATAAAAACTTGGACTTTGTAGATAAGTCTAGTGTCTGTTAATTACATTCGACATTTAGGAAGCAGTTCATTATTTAGAGATTTTAGTTGTAATAAAAATAATATATAAATTTCCGATAAGTAAAAAGTTAAATTTCTGAAGTTTCGTGACTTAGTGTAAGCTACTTCTTCAGAGAATAAAAATAACCGAATTTGATTAATACAAGTTTAAATTATACAAAGGATATGAAGCAGAGTATTTTTAGTACAATCAAAATTGAAATAGGTCTAGTCATGTCAATGTAATGTTATTTTGGTCTAGGCGGTTTTTTTCTATGTATTTTTTATTTATTATTTATTTGAATACATAAATATTGGTACAAAATGGCACAGAATACATATGCGTCACACAAGTCAATTAATTTGGATAAAATGGCTCGAAATCAACAGCAACAGAGCAGATGCGTCCATTTTTGTCATCTACCAAATTCTGAGATCCTAAACTCCTCATGAATTTTGTTTTTATTTTAGTAATTTATAAATTTCTTAAAAATCGTATCTTTGATGCTTAATCTTTTATATTACCACTGATACTGTTACTGCCTCTACTATTCCGAGATTTGGCTTGAAACTTTCAATCTCTCATTGGTAATAATGTATGGCATTTTAGACTGATGTACATGTGTACCATGTTCTACGTTTTGACTGACCGACTAATATATATATATATATATATGTCGTTAAATATATTTTGTTACTTATTTATATAGAATCATTTATTAGAAGCAGAGAAAACTAAATCAACTTCATCTTCTAATCAGTCCCAGATGACCAGTGAAAATTTGAACAAACTAAAAGACCAACAAAATAAAACTATGCAAGAGTTAACTGATTATCAGGTAAATGAAATGTATTGTAGAATACTTTTCAAATTACTGTACACGTTGTTTATTTGTTTATTTGCTTTTCTACTGATGAAATCGTTTGTTGTTAGCATTGAAATAGTTTCATTGTTTATTTATAAAATGAATACAGTCCTATTTCAACCTTGTCAATTATTTGAAATTTTCACTTGAATCTTTCTCATGATTCACATAGAAATTATGAAGTATATAGTTAAGTTGTTTATAGTACTTGAATATTAAATTTTAATCAATTAATTCCTACCTCAAGCCACTTGTAAATGATTCAATAAGCTTAGTAATATAATTGAATATTCTTCCGAATCAAATAAATTATAACCACTGACCAAATCCTACACAATTCATAGGTAAATTTTATTCATTTTTATTTTATTGTAGAGTATTATAGAGAGTGCTTTATGCGTCATTTTAATATTAATGAATACTGAAAATATGATATTTTAATTACTTTTAATAAGTTGTACTAACCTAAACTATTTCCATTCTATTGTGTACCTCATAATCCCTGTGTAATCAACACTGACAATGTATTTGTACATTTATATTCTTTTTTTTTCTAATTGATTCAAACAAACTGAAAGCAATGTTTTTTCTATTTAAATTATCATTAAAGTCGTCATTCTCATCATCATCATCACCCAGCCTAGAAGAGATATGTGATTATTTTACGAGTGCAACCGACTATTTACAGACTAATCAATCATTTATGATATTTGAAATATCTACATCTTTCTTTTTTCTAAAACAAAAGAAATACTTGATCATAATCGTTTTATTAAATTATTACTTCGTCACTAACTTGAGTTTCGTTTTCTAAAATAGTGGTCATTATAATTCATTGTATAAACTAGTCGTTTGTATTGATGAAACTCCTAAATAACACCAAAAAAGTGTATCATACTTATTTATTGGGCTAATAAATCGTAGTTTTAATTTGATGGAATACATTGTCCTCTGTCATTGTTATTTATTACATCAAGGAAATTTGTAATCATTGTTTCGAAAATTTCTTAGTGTTTCGTATGTCGTTTACACTCAGCTACTGCCTCTTTTTCTAGCGTTCTATTTAAGTTATTGTAGGACTAAGTCCATCGAAGATATAACATCAGTTCACAAATCTACTAATTGTCGGTGTGTATCATATAGGAAAACGAGTACTGTTTCAGACAATTGTTCAAAGTAGGTTATATTAGTACACATATATTCCTTCTTGATATTCATCTGAATCTTTTATTGAACAGATATAAACAGAGAATAATTCAATTTTCATCTCAGTCTTGAATATTTTGAAGTTTACCATTATTCTTATGATGTCAAAAACATCACTAATCACCTTCATATTATATTCTTCATTCGTAGAATATGTTTCGTTTTTGACAAATTAGTCAGTCAGTCAGTTACAACGTAGGACCAGGCACATATATGCATCGATTCAAGTTGTCATACCACATTAACACAAAAAGATGGACACCGGATTCATAGGAGTGGTTAGGTCAAAGGTGGTAATATATAGGAGAAAGATTGCATATAAGGATATAGTACAGGAAGAAAGAATTAGTTCATAGAAAGAAAGATATGAAGTAATTTTAATCTCTTAGTTTAAGAGAAGACAGAGTGTATACACCGACGCCATTGTGATCGATTCTGAGCCATGTCACCAAGAGTCTCCAACCATCGGTTACGATAGTCACGCGGACCTCAACCAAGTAGTCTGCATCTCCCAACATGGCTCAGACTACAAGTCAGTGACTTCAAGCACTGATGCCACGTTTTGGTTTGGCCGCCCCTAACTTTCTTCCAACCATCCCGAACACCGGTTAGCATTGCACATCGTGGTAATCGGTGTTCAGGCATACGTAACACGTGGCCCAACCATCCCAGTCGATGAAGATTAACAACCTCATCAACTGATTTACCATCATTCCCTAATACCCTGCGTCTAACCTCACTATTACTTACCCGGTGATCCCAACAGACGCCAGCAATATTTCTAAGGCATCTGTGGTCAAATACTAGTAGCTTACGGGTGTTCTCTACTCTTAATGGCCATGTTTCGCTGCCGTAAAGTAGAACAGAACGGACTGCCGTGCAGTATACTCGTTCTTTTATTGATAGACGGATATCTCGCCTTCGCCATAGGTGACGTAAGTTGGCAAAAATCAAACGAGCTTTTCGGATCCGTGCTGAGATTTCGTCAGACACCAACCCATTAGGGCTGATAGGACTTCCAAGATAAGTGAAGTTGTCAACGCGTTCGACTACTTCACTCCCTATCCTTAGTTCATGTGTTGACGCAAATATTCTTGACATTTTAGTTATTATATGCGTTGATATAGTGTTCTTCTCTTACTTCTATTTCACAACCCACATACGCTTAGCAAAGAATGTGAGAACTTCCATCTACGTAGGATTACTCTATGTTACTAGATATTGGAATTTTATTCTGCTATAGGCGTAACTCTTCATTGAAATAATTAATTACTAACGTTACTAGAATTTGTAATTTATGAGAAATGCGAAATAGCTTTAGATAATAAATCCCTCATCATTTACTCACACACGTATTTCACATAAACATTTGCTTAACAAGTAATAAACGTTGAAGAATACTACATTGGAAAGTGAACAATAGTGAAACCCATCAATGTTAAGATTGTTTCACTACAAAGTATTCGGTTTGGCTTGAAATAGTTTTTAGACATAAAGAATGTTCAACTTCTATGCTTGCTACATTGATTTATGAACATTTGAAAAGATTCTTAGCAACTCTTACAAATACATTTGCTTAATTTGACCTGGATAATCACTCATTTTAGTGGTATGTCCTTCAATAATTATCAGTCAGATGACTAAATCTTTTGATTATCTGGATATTGATATACAGTTTTATGTATCAGCAACCACTCTTACGTATATATCACAATACTGGGATGTATCGATGCTATATAACTTAAAGAAACGAAGACATCATAATGTTTAATAATTTATCCATTCACATTAAACACATAATCACTCTTTAAACTTAGAAAAAACGAGATATAGTAAAGGAAAGTGTTTAAAATAGCAATATGGTACATTTTTATTCAATTTAGTCATTTCTTTTTTTTCGTATGATTGTATAACAATTATCCATAATTTAGCTTCATGTCCCTTTCTTTTTTCTCTTTCCAAATTTATTTCACTGGATTATACTCCTTGAATAACATCTTCAAACCCTAATTTTTCTGATTACAGCTTATAATTTTACTACATCTAGCACTACGGGATTTGAATCGACCACTGCATCTCTGTGCTAATGTGGTATGGCAAATCGAACTGATGTACGTACATACGAAGTTCTACGTTGTTACTGACTGATAATCACGATCAATGGTAGAAAAATTTCAACGACATGCCTCAGGATCAATCACAGTGGTTTACTGATTTGTAAATGATTTCCTTAGAGAATTGACATCATCTAAATAAGCATTGGATACTGAGAAGTAATGAATAGCTTTTTGTCGTAACTGTTATTATACCGTGGAACTATGAAGTAGAATTTTAGTACGTCACATTTTCTGTTTAGCGTGCAGTGTAGTGAACGAGAACACCAGTGGGCATAATCGAATGTATTTGAATACAAAATTACAGAATCACTTAGTAAGATCTGAGAATCATACAAAAATACTTCATTTGCAAAATGTCTCATACTTGATTGTCCCTTCGTTTCCACACCAATCATTCTCTGGTAAAGTATGAAACAACACTATTTCATTGGCTAGTGAGACAGAAAATTATATACTCCATATCTTGATTCCTGGTACTATGTGGTCGAAACGACCTCACTGTATAATCTATTCTGTTATTAAACTAGTCAATAAGAACCATTTAATCGCTTTTCATTATCTATATATGTTATTTAATAATTGTTTTTACTAATCATTTTCTGTACTACTTAACAGATCTTAACTAGAAATTTTACAAGTTTACCTACTTCTAGTTTCAACCAATGTTCCCCACTAATTTGAAGTCGTCAGTGTTTGAGCATATATAACGTCATTGCAATCTACGGGATGTTCATAATTTCACTAACTTTATTATCTTGTTTGCCTCTTTCTGCTCATTCACCATCTTTATTACTGTTGTTAAATATTTGTGATCTTCATATATTGTCGTTATGTATTGCAAGCACATATTAGGCATCAATTCTATGACATATATTTTACCAGTGTAAATTAGCGAGAGCTAAACTATTATGTTTCGCCTTTCCTGAGAATTTTACTACTTTAAATGTGTTTTGGCTCATAGAACTCCTTGGGTAACGAAGTAATCATACTAGTATTAGTGATTCATAAATGATTAACCTTAGTATACATATTATTTTTTACCACGAAAAGCTGAATTTTTTAATGTAGCATTTCGAAATAATAACTTCAAGTGATCATTTTATGTCAGCAAATTTGCGCAGTTGTCTCAGAGTTATTGAATAAAAAAAAGTAACCTAAAAAATTGTTTACCCAAAAAAAAGTTTTATCTCATTGCTAGTCATGTTTCTATTGATGATTGCACTCTTTGATTTGTTTCTTTTGGCTGAGTTTTGTCTGATCAAATGTAATTTTGTCCTCTCTTATTCAGTGTTTTTGATGGATTGAAAAGATGAATTTTCTGTCTACTAACTGTCTGTTTGTCAATTTTGCAAATAATGATTCATTTTGTTTACAAAATCTCTTTTTTTAATGAAAAATAAATTATTTTCATCTTCACCCCGCTGTCAATCATCATGATGTGGTAGATTTACTTAACTGTTTATTTCCGATGTTTCAATTACCGCAGAATCTTGTTTCTACAATATGGTGGTGTACTAGTTTTTTTTTTACCATACACCATCTGCAGTATTGGATAAATTTCATGTTATGTGTACATTTTGTTAATGTGTTCTTAAGATATTTATTGTTTATTGAAGTCTGTCGTATCGATTAATTTGTACCATCTTTTTTACATCACTGTCTAATGGAATTTATGAGAATTCACAGTGTAAACTAAATTACGCACAAATGAATATCGTTTTGTCTTGTTTGATACCATTAGTGTTTTTTACTTTCCCGTCAGTGGTTTTCTTGATTTTAACTTTTCACCTTTTTTAGTTCTACCTTAATGTAAAGTGACGGCTTAGTGACTATGTGCTTGATTTTCAATCTAATTGTTAGTTTCAAACGTCACTTTGTCATTTCTACTCGCGTTCGTATCGTAACGTTTAGTTATGTTTTGAAGAATCCACAAATATCCTGATATGGTCGAGAGTGTAAACGGTCTTCTCGAAGTGCTCGCATACTGTATTATTTTTAGAGCCTCTACCAGGAACGTTCTACTGACCTAGAGTGGATAGGAGAACGAATAGTGAACGTCCTATGTTTAAACCTATGTAGTGTATAAGAAGAGTCAAGCTGTATAAGTTGGAAAACTGATTCCGAACCAATGATGTACATAGGTTTCAGAATCCTAAAAGAACGAGTGACTTATAAAACCATTCGTGGTCACTGGTCACCATAGGATAACAGCGCATGACTTTCCTTTTCTACCTTGTGGTTTAGATCCCTAGATCAGAGGCTCAGGGAGTTGTTCCCTAAGAAAACTACGTACTTTGGTTCGGACACCCGTCAATATTCTATTCAACACATAAATTTTTTGTAAGGCATTCTATTTTTAGTGCCTAGTTGTGCGAAATTTCCTGTGAAATAAATAAATTGTCCCACAGCTGAATATACCAATCTGTGTTTCCTTACTTCATTATTATTTTGGTTGCATAATGTAGCTGTATATATATTCAAGATTTGGTAACACATACACATATTTCCTGATCCATAATATCTGAGTGTTATTTAATATTTTTCTATTTGTAGTGATGACATTATTCATTCTTGATATGTGAAGTAAGACAACTAATTCTTTTTTTAAGCATTCATCTACTTGCACATACACACCAATGGATCATTAATACTGAATACTAATATGGTTTCACTTGCTTTCAAATACTTTATCTACTTTTGTTCACGGTATTCTTTTCTTAAATATTATCTATATCCATGTTAATACATATATTTTTATATTTATTTGAGAAAAGAGTATGATATTCTACAAATATAAACAATAATTAAATGTGTAGAAAAGAGAATTTGAAACGGAACTTCATCCTATTTGTCTTTCTTCTAACCTATCTTAACCGATCTATTATATATGCTACATCTGTTAATTTCTCACTTTTTTACGGTAATGATCTTAAGAATTTTGCAATGTTTTACTGTGAAATTAGTATTTCCTTTCATTTCTATTAATGTATTGTCTTTTTTTGTCTACGTATTATCATAAATTACAATGAACTATAGTGAATTATGTACAGGGTGAATGTGTGTTGACAATTTCTTCTTATTGTTATTATTATAAAAGTACACACGTAAATAGTGGTGATGTACGGAACATTTTTTGACTTGTGCACTCTAATGATTAAATGGGTACGTATGCGTGATCTGGTATAATAGATCATCTTCTTTCTTTTTTCTTCGATTCGATTGATTGAATTGTTTGCCGTCTCTAATATTTTGGGGTTATGATAACTGTATAGAAAATTGTATGCATTATTCTTCTACTCAACTACTATTATAAAATGGTTTGTGATTGTGATGATTCGATAGAATACTTATACTCTTGATAAATAATTCTTATCAGGTATTTATTAGTTTAACCAAATGTGATATTATTTTTTATTATTGATTAACATTATCAAAATGATTATGCTTTTTTCTTTTTCACAGTTTGAGGTATTTCAATAATCACTTGTAATTGTTTGATTGTTATCAAACACTACAATCATTTAAAAAAAGTATTTATTTGCCTTTTGTTACTGCTTAAATGCACGTCACTCTCTCATGCAATTTAATTCGCTTATATTTAATAAATGTCTATATGTATGCATATTGGTTTGAATAAATATAAATAATTGGTTCCATTGACTGAGATAATTCTCTTCAATTTCTATTGCTTTTATGTGTGCAATTTGTTTTATTATTATATATAAGGGCAATAATTATTCTGTTTTCTAATTTGTTCCTGTTTATCCATTTATTGGTGAATTCATAATTTACAGAATAATGTTTTATCGGCTGTTGAATCATTTCATTCTGTACAAATAGAAGAAGTGAATAATTTACAATTAATTAACAAAATCAATAATGATGATGTTGATACTGTTACTAATCAAGAGACTATTCAGTTATTATTGGAAAAACTTAAAGTACAAGAAGAACTATTCAATGAACAAAAAGATCAATTGCTTAGTATTCAACTACAAACTATAGCACTGAATCAAGATAAAGAGAATGTATGTTAATTAAATTTTACAGTTTAGTATTTGTTAATATATATTTTTTGTTGTTGTAAATAATTGGTATTTAATGTGTATACTGTTTCTTAACGAATATGTCCTAACCAAACTAGATGTCAAAATAATTTGAATTTAATACTGATCAATTGATAGTTTTTCGGCTTGCTCGATGTGTACATTGAATTTATCTGTAGTGCGAATATATGTGTTGCATTTTTTGTGTATCATTAAACTGTTAGTAATAACAAATCTACACAAGAATAAGAGATGGAGATTTACTGCAATCATTATACGCAATTCAGCTATAGTGTAGTAGTTTTTATCTCACTTCTATACAATGTGTTTTTGTTTGGCCAATTAAAGGGGTTATTTTGATCTGATGTAATAGTGGTTTGCGACTATGTATCAGAGTTCGTTTCTTTATATTTGTCCTTTACCTACTCTATTATTTCTCTAGTTCTGTTGTTATTTCGATTACTATCTGGCTTCCTTTATGTTATCTTCAATTCAGTCTTCTGCTGCCAGGTATTCCAGTTCCGATTGAGGCTACATTAACTGTAGCTAGATAGTCATTGAAAACCAGGTTCAGGTCTCTCACAATGTTGTAAATTTGCAGTGTTGGTTTTCACTGCCCTAAAATAACCTGGTACGGCCGAGAGTGAGGGAGAGTCCGCTCTCCCTCTCGAAATGCTCTCACACGGCTACGCGTATATAGCCTCTGTCAGGGAAGTCCCACCCACTGCATTCTCGTGGCGGGGGTGTTTTTCACGAAATCGAGAGGACGAAAAGCGAATGTCCGGCGCTTTAACCGAGTTGGTGGACATGGAGAGTCCACCTAGGGGAGTTGGAAAACCCTGATTCCAAATCAATGGTGTACATGGGCTCCAGGATCCTGAAGGAAAAAATGGCGTATGAACCAATCTTTGGTCACCGACTACCATGGGACTGCATCTCCTTACGTTGCTCCACTGTCTTATGGATCACATCTTCATGTCGAAGTCTCTGGGTGTTGCCCCCTAAAAAACCACCTGTTTCGGTTTGGGAACCCGAGCAGTATCCCAGCCCTCACACATATCGGATGAGATTTGTGTGGCGCATATGTATTTGGTGTCTTCTTGTACCACTATCTATGTGCTAAAATAAAATAAATAAATAAATGTTGGTTTTCACTAGTTGTCCAGCTACAGTCAGTTGATGATGTAAAGCTTCAAAATTCCGGAGTCTTTACAAGCGTCTTTGTACTTATGTTGTGACATATATTTAGTTTATCGCCTTTACATAAATACATTAATCCTCGATTTTTTAAAAATTTATTTCAGTCTAACAATAAACTTAATGAGGTTGAAAATTATTTAAATAAATTAAAAATAGAATTGAATGAATCTAGAATAAAACAAGAAGAATTACTTACTGAATTAAATAGTGCCCATTTGAAACGTGATCAATTAGTTGAAGATATTTCTAAAGTTCTAGGTGATTTATCTTTAACTGGAAATGCAGAGAATTTATCAACAATTTTATGTAACCGTATTAATGATTTAAAAGAACAAATGTAAGTTCAATTGAGATCTAACTTTGATCTATTAAATTTAATGTTGTGTGTATTTTTTTTGTTACAAAGAGATCACTTTATGTGATAATGAGTGTCCAACCTCATTTTTTATCGTTTTCTTCGATGAAGTCTACCTGTTAGTGAAATATCGCAATTTTCTTTTAAGTTCAGTTTATCACGTTAGGATCATATCCTACTTTAGCGGTTTATGGGAGATTAGTTTCAGTTAAAGATAGATCACTCTAGTCATGGGTTAATATCATTAGAGATATCATTTAAAAGCAAAGGTGCACTAAACAATGTGAATGTTGCTGCAATCGTATATTCGATAACATTTCTATTACTTCAAATGCCAATATCAACATCCTTTTTCTAAAATCTTTAATTATATGTGTTAGTTAATGTTTTTTTTCATTAGGCTTTCAGTTTCTCAAATACAATATTGTCAGATAGGTCAAGTTGGCTTTAATTGTACCAAAAGTATACTTTTGTTAATTATAATGAAATCTTTCACGGTTCGTGTTTTTCGTCATATGTATTTCTTTAGTTATAGCTGTCCATTTTCATCGCTTAGGAAATATATTGAAATAATATGTTTTTTTGTAGTTACAAATATTTGCTTTAATATTCTTCTAGGACTATTTAGTTAAATTTCTACAGATACTTGCCAGAAAAACTGGATTTGTTTTGGTTCACCAAAATTTGTACTTTTTGTAGAATACCAAATAATTCATTATGTACTTCTCATAGTGAATCTTCATAACAGTAATACATTGATTCATCCCGTGTTCATTTGTTTGTTATTATTTTTTAATTACTGGTTATTGTAACAGTGAAATATGTTAGAGCGATTCTGAATCAAAATGTTTATGCGATAGCTCAAGGTTTGTGTACTATGATTGAAAACTTGCTTGACCAAAACTGAAGTGATTTTAAGATAGTTCCAGTTTACGACCCGGTCAGTCAAAGTACTATACTGTAACTACTCATAAATGATAACGTACAACTCTGCTTCTACAAAAGAATACTATAAATGTTGGGCAATATATTAAACTTCTTAGTAACGATATTATGAATATGTAGAGAAATAACTCATACAGCCGGTTATTGGAATTGATGGCTCAGTAGTTAAGATGTTTGACTTTCAATTACTAAGTTGGACGTTCGAACTTCGTTCCGCCGATTTTAGTATGGACACTCAGGTAGTATCACTAGCTTCAATCTGTATCTGAGTTAACCATTAAACCAAAATATCTTGGATTTATTCGTCTTGTTCAGGATTCATTTATCATTAGTTAACTAATTTAATAGAATATGACAATTTACGTGATGTAATATTCCTTCTTTCATTTTATTTCGATCAGATCCAGACAGGAAAAAGTTCGTCAAGATTTAGAAAAATATTGTCAAACACTAGAAAGTGAACGTAATGATCTTGAGAGTGAGCTGACCAGAGTCAATGTGACTTTGAAAAATTCCAGTGAAGTAAGTTGTTCTGTGTATTCAAGCTAACAGCAAAAATATTTCATCTAGGTTTATCATTTTGTTTTAATGCACAATTTTAAATGATATTTATCTCACATTGTAGTAGTTTCCCTGAGTAATAAGTATAATAACCCTTCTATTTTACCAATACGAAGAAATGTTTGAGTATTGATACATATATATATATATATATATATATATATATATATATATATATATATATATTGTCTCGTAATTTTTCGTATGGAATTTTTTTTGGAAGACTACTACATTTTTATGATGTTTTTACTACTTGTTTCTTTTAAGTAGCTGAAATTTATTTACACTAACTTTCATCTTTTGCCGATAAAACAAGTACGTTTATATTTATTTATTTTATTTGGACACATAAATATCAGGTAAGAGGGGCACCGAATACACTCATTTGATTTATGAGTGGGCTGTGATACTGCCCAGGTGTGCAGACCGAAACAGGTGGTTTCCTTAGGGGGCCATACCCGAGACCGACCAAAATGTCTGATCCACAAGACAGTGGAGTAACGTAAGGAGATGCAATTCCATGGTAGCGGGTGACCGGTAATTGGTTCATACGCCATTTATTCCTTCAGGATCCTGGAGCCCATGTACACCACTGGTTTGAAACCAGTGTTTTCAAAATCCTCTAGTTAGATCCTCTATGTCCACCAAACCGGTTAAAGCGCCGGACATTCGCTTTTCGTCCTCTCAATTTCGTAAACAACACCCTCGCTACGGGGAGGCAGTGATTAGGACTTACCTGTCAGTGGCTGTATATGCGTCGCCGTGTGAGAGCTTTTTAAGAGGAAGAGCTGACTCTCCCCACTCTCGGCCCTACCTAGGCATTTGGGGGCTCAACAAGTGCGTATCGTTCATCAACCCCCAAGCATAATGTAATGTGGCCGTTTTAGTTAAATAACTTACATCAGTTGTAATATCTGTGTTTCCGTGAATAGAATTTAGGTTTGGAAAAGGACTGAATGATATATTACATGTTGTGACAATTATTCACATGAATGTATGAATTGATATGCTTCACTTCTAAATTGTATCTATTATGTTTCATGTCACATTTAGTGTTATAGTTCTATACAGTTGGTTCTTTTCCACATCCTTACTCTGAACAAAGTACAATAGAGTCCTGACAATTCATTACCTTCGTGAATAATTTTTCACATAGACGGAGGAAGTATAATGACAATATGCAATGACTTCTTGGTGTTTTGCTGACCTTCTCTTCCTGATTTTTTCTTTATGAACTAAATCAGTTGTTTTTAGACGTAGAGTACGGTAAATACTACTGTTTTTTAGGGAAATATCAATACTAGAAGCTGAACATATATTTATAAATAAAAACTTGGTCATAAATTTTGTGGTAATAAGGAATGGTCTTGTTATAATTTATATAAATATGTGGTAATGTTTATTTGTGACGAAGTAATGTTTGTCAAATTATGTTACCTAAGGTTATTGACGTTTATATGATTTTGATGTTACTGCATCGTTATGTGACTAACCCCGATAACTTTGATTTGTATGTGGTTTTACATACACAATGAACAACAATTTGGAATGTTATAACCGTGTTTTGTCTGCTACCTTTTCCCTGTAGATTTTCGTATTTTGACCTTAGTTCCGTTTGTATGCACCTAAACTTTTTTGGTAATCGGCACGAAGCTCTCGACCTAGATGCGCCGGTTGTTACCCATCATTTAAACGTACTCGCAGTCACGAGGAATCTGACCTCCTTGTGATTTGAACGCGCTCTAACCAGCCTCACAATCTTAGATCTTACCATTGAGTTGTTCGGACAGCATCCTCCACTAGGATTGAGGTATTTACGAATTACTGATCACTGTGTTGTAGTGACCAATGTCATTTGTCTAGTTCTATATCGATTAGGTTTATATGAGCTGTAACATCAGTGTTTTAGCACTAATGAACAGCTCACTGTTTACTAGAAACGTGGATTGGCTAAGTTAAAATTCAGAAAAACTATGGAAACTGCGAAAAAATATTTCTTTTAGATTTGGTTTCGATCAGAGTTTTTCACTAATTTCTACATATATATCCTTAATTATGATAGTGAAACCGGTATCAATCTAGTGGTGTGTTACGCAATAATATTCTGAAAATATAATTCATATTAATTTTCAACTTATCAATATTTTATCGATTTTACTTCATTATTTTATACAGTGTATCAATCCTTAAATTTCATGTTCCACTTCATTCGTTTATTTATTAACACCTTTGAGTATTAATATCTTGATCCAGCTCATCTTTTATTCACTTCATTATTCTTGGTAATTTAATAAACCGTTGAATTTGAAATACTATTATTATTTAACACGTGTCTATTCAATTGGTGTCACTCTTACTATTATTGTTAAACGTGTATGTTAATCAGTATAAGGTTTTATGAAGATTATAGAATTTTAAGATTTTTTAAAATCATGAACTGATCTTTGTTAGATCACAACTTAAAACCTGGAAGTATTAGAAGGCCGTTCTGTCTTAATATGAGACTCCTCAAGAGTACGCATCCGTGAATCAAACCTAGTACCTCAGGTCTCGTATGTAAACGTTCACTTCACGATGCTGCGCGGCTATCTTTCATTGCCTTTTGTGAATAACTGTCTCACAACCAACACGGTTAAACTCTTCTGGTCACAGCTTCCTAGTAGAACACCTAGTAGGACATCTTGAAGCTACTCACTAATCAGCACATTATATATATATATATATATATATATATATATATATATATATATATATATATATATATATAAATTAGTGCAGAGCCGTAATGTGAATCTAATTGAATGGAATTATTTATTCGCTTTATTCGCCTTATTTTCTAAATGTCTCAGTGGGAATCCATGTTTTACTAGAATTTATGTATGACCACTGTCTTATGTTATTTCTAGAGATAAGAAGTAAATAGTACTTATAAAACAAAGCCGACCACTTATATCTCAGTTCTAAAGGAATGATATTAAAACAGTCTTTTTGACTTGATTAAGTTATAGATTTTTAACTATTCACGAAGATATTCAGACAACATTCGAGCTATTTTATATGTACCCTTATTGGTTTGATTTTTGATTCATTTTTGACCAGATACAAATGGATAATTCAACCTTGAAAGAAGAACTTGATAATGCGCGACAAAAGTAAGTTTGATTTGTATCTGAATGTGCTTGTGAAATATGTTCTTGCTCTAATATAATAATAATTAAGTACACGTAGGAAGATCTGAAGGTCTTAAGATCAGTTCTAAAAGTGGTCGTGGATGAGCACTATCATAAAGTCCCATATTAAAATAAAACAACTATTCAGTGCCTTCTGCTTTTTAGGTGTTGTCTAACCAACATCAATCTTTATTGTAAACTATAATATCCAAAAATCTCTACAATATCTTATAATAAAGAAACAGAAAAAGGTTTCTAAAGAAATATGTACGTTACTCTTAAATGAACACTGTCATTAGTATCTGTTAGTCTATCAATAATTAAATGGTATTCTATTATTATTATTATTATTATTATTATTATTATTATTATTATTATTATTATTTTGTTTTCTATTTTGTGTAGTTTTCTGTTGTTACACATTGTTTGCTCAGTATCTGTCTGTTAGGTTTATAACGTTTATACCTTGGTGATATGTGTCATTTTTATTAATGAAAAAATTCATAAGACAGTTAACTATTGTTTATCGCAGATCCTTGTCTACAATATAACTCAAAGTTGAATACAGGAATTTATTTTTTAGTAAATGATTTACAATTAGAATGAATTTACTTCAATAATCGGATAATTCGTTGACAAATAATTGTTGAATATTTTTCTTTATAACCTAGATGCTATTTCTTTTACAATCCGTTAACTAGTGTAACTTTCGTTCACATACCAAGTATTTCGTCACAAAATAACGAATGAATAACTGTTTTTAGTCTGTAAAATCGAAGATATTCTTTTTTCTCAAATTATTATTCATTTATATTTTAATACAGGATGTTTTCATTAGAGAAAAGTGCTTCTAATGCATTTAGTCAACTTGAAATCAAGTCGAATGAATTACAGACTATTCAATCACAGTTGGATAAAGTTCTAAATGAAGTACGCCATTTCTTATCTGTGAATAATTTTAAGTTGTTTCTTTGTGTATAGTTGTGTTTTTCTTTTTCAGAAGAAACGTTATTTTTATTTATTTACAAATAACTAATAAATACACTTACCAATATGTAGGTCATTATCAAGTATGTAGGATTGAATATGATAGTCAGACAAAAATTTTTTAATAATGACCCCTGGATAAAGAAGAAAAACCTAAATTTTCAAACATATCTATTCCAGTTATTTATTTGGTATACATAATTCAAGAAAGTTTGGAATCCTCTGTTTAACTTAAAATCGATATTTCCAAACTTTCGAGGTTGTCGGATGTTGATCTCACGCCATAGGACCTCTGTATATTGGAGGATTGATGCTGCATATTAAAGTAGAACATTCGAAACATCTCTTTCGTCCATTACTACTAATTAGTATTTCATTTAATTGTTCCTATCCGATGAAGTCATAGGTACGCTAACTTGTTTTATATGTAGCATAGCATCTGACGTCACTTTTTATATCACTTGAATAAAAATTAGAATTCTTCGTTTTCATGTCATTAGCTCAAATTTCACACGTTCATTCCAGATATTAATTAAAACATTGGAGGACGTATTATAGTGTAATAAGATGAAAACTATCATTATAATATGATATATTAGTGCAATACATTTCGAATAATCTAATAACATACATACTTGTTAAGAACATTTATATATGGAAAATAAAGGGTCAACTATACAAATGGAATGTGAAGGTAAGAGGGACAAGGGTCATAAAAAAAGATGTGAAAACAATGTGAAACGCCATCCTGGATAATATAACAATATTACTAGGGTGAGTTTGGAGTGAGAACAAACTCTATTTTTTTCAATAAGTAAACTCCAAACTCACCCTGGTAATATTGTTATATTATCCAGGATGGCGTTTCACATCGTTTTTTATGACCCTTGTCCCTCTTACCTTCACGTTCCATTTGTATAGTTGACCTTTTATTTTCCATATATAAATGTTCTTAACAAGTGTGTATGTTATCAGATTTTTCGAAATGTATTGCAGTAATATATCATATTGTAGTGATAATTTTCATTTTGTTATTACAGATGATACTTAAAAATAGATACAACTTTCGCCAAGTGAAGAAAAAGCTGTAATAAAATATCAACTACTTATTAGTAATATAAAAAGCTAAACGTATTTCTACTGAATTCACTTTCAATCAAGGATTCTTTCAAATTTATTTATGCCTTTGCCATATCAAGATGGCTCGTATTGACCAACATTATTTCTGTATTCACTTTTATAATTTTGGTACAGAACTATAACATATGTGTTCATACTGTTCTGTTAAAATCTTTGTTTTTGCTCTTTTTAAATAATTAAAAGGAGCTCTGTATATAAAACGGTTAGATCAGTTGAATATTATTCGTAAATTACGTTTACAGTACTGGAATATATAAATCCTATATCGTAACAGGAGTCTCATAACAAGTAGCATTTAAAATACACCTTACTATAATCACCAAACGTTTTGTAGACATATGGTTGTATTTCTCTTAATTTTTATTTGATTGTCGTTTCATTTTGTTAGTCGTTCAATTTGTGTATAAGTGTTCTGATCATCTTTAACATTGTTCACTCTTTATATAACTCATACACTAACATCCTTTTTTTCTATCGGCTTTCTACCTTCCGTATATAATCAGCAAATGGAGCTTGAGAAAGTACACAACCATACCATAACAGCTTTAGAATCTGAGAAACAAGTATTGTTGGAGCGAATTAAAGAGGCAGAAAATCGTTTACTTGAACACCAACCAAATTCGTCAACTGAGCTTAGTAAGATCGTACCCATTCATATTATCGGTTATTTGTAGAATGATTGATAAAGTTTGATTATTTAAGTGGATTTTTTAAATGTTTTTATGATTGTAAATGATAAAATTCCTTAGATTGTAATCATCGATGCTCGTTCAAATTTCAGTCAAGCTTAGTGTAAATGTGGTAATAAAAAATGCGCTGTTATCCTACAGTCTTAAAATCATTACGAAATGTTATAAGGTAATAAACACCTGAATTTGGAATGTTTTTCTCATAGAGCATGTTTCTAATCAACACATGCCACTTCGTTCATATTATGAATAACCCGATACGCAAGTCCAACTCGGCAATTTACAAAGAAACATATGAGCTGACACTGAAGACAGAGAAGAGAAACGAAATACTATGTTTAACGTGGTGGTTAAATACTCACAGTGATTTCATCAGATCTATTATTGAATCGAAAAATGAATGGTAATTACTGATTCCAACAAAATTAATTCTGTTTGCATTGTTTTTAATTTAACAAAAGGTAAACCGATTATTTATTTTACTGAATATATATTGAAGTATAAACGTAGTCGTCGAAATCTGGTTTGCAACAGAAATTCCAGTACCTATCAGTTCGGATATGGTTAATTACTAATAATTCTGGTTATTTTTTTCTAACCACCGATAGTGTGTCATCTTGATATTGACCTGATAGTTGTAAATTGTTAGGTAGTTCGGGTTGAATGATGCCTATTTATGAGACGATACAATGATTGGATATATATTTGTGACAGATACTAAGTAGTTGTCTCATAATCACTAAACAATGTTACTTGTTTATAAGTTAAACGAATAAACAGCGAAAGATGAACGACTGCATTGATCAGACAAAGTTTTTCATAAAACGTAAGGAGAGACAGGATAGTATCTTAGATGAAGTAGTTTGATAATTTTTTTTAATAGAATGCATCATGCTTGTATGAAAAACTGTCAAATAAAATATTGATACGAAATGAGTGCACTCATCAGGATTCATAACTACCACTGTCAAGAGCGTTTTCAGTTTTGGTACTTAGATAAGATATCTACACCACACTTCGATCAATAATTGATTCGGGCACCCTTAAGTTGAAACATATTTATTTGATCACATAAACATTTCTACACGGAAGCTATAAAATGCATATGTGCCACACAATTACAATGAGGCCAGTAGTAGTTATCATTGATTTGCGTGAGGGTTGGAATACTACCCCGGTCCCCAAACCAAAGCAGGTGGTTCTCTTATGAGGTGACACCCCGAATCTTTGACCTAAATGTTTAATCTACAAGACCTTTGAGGGTTTAAATTGAAGTTGAGTAGGACTAAATTACATAACTGTTTGTTATCATCAAAAAAACAATGAAGCGACTTGTAAATGATCACGTCGCATCCACTTATATGTCTGTAGATTCACTTGCATGGAATGAAGTAAGTTTTATGTGTATTTACAGATGGTTAAAAGACGAATGAAGTTGACAACACTTAATATGAATAAATTCCAGTTGTCCAATAACAGAAAATGACAAAGATTCTATCTGTCTTGTATTTAAAATTATATTACAAATAAATCATAGTTTCAATCTGAATATATCCATTATAGTATTGTGATGATTAATTTATAATTTATCGAGTATATTACTATTGAACAATTTAATTTCCCAATATTTAATTATTCAAAAACATTTTAAATTTACAAGAAACTTATCATGATAATATTAATTTTAATTACTTTTATATCAATAATTATGTGAATCATGTCTAATTATCCCTTATACTTATTATATTTAGTTTATATAGATATATATCTTCTTTAGTTGTGATCAATTCTCTGTTCAAAAGTGTATATTACGCGCCAATTTAATTAAAAGCTTCTAATAAACATCAAAGAGATTAACTATTTTCATTATTAAAAAAAATAAAGTAGATTTTAATTAGTTACATATTGAAATGAAGAATACATTTTGAAATAAAACAAAGAATAGAAACAATATCATAAGATTATGCTTAGATTTATAAATAATTATTAGTTGCTTACTTATTAAAATTAATCATTATTATATATATGATTATTGTAGTTATGGAAATTGTTTAATTTCAATGTGGGCAATCATTAAGAATTAAATAGTATTTAATTTTTAATAAAATTATAAATAAAAATGGATAGTTATAGAAATAAGCATGTTAAATATAATTTAACTATTCAATTCAAGGTGTGTTATCAAGAATACTTATGAAGTATATGTATTTAAATAGAAAGAGAGTCACAATGTAATGTTAAATTATTATTGTTAAATTATTCACTCTTTTTTTTGTACAGATACATTGAGTTTAAGACAATAGATTACAGTTTGTTTTTTAATACCGTAACTACTCAATTTGTTTTAAGTAGGATTTAATACACTATAATTATCAATGAAATATTTGCATTATAACACCTCTTAACAATTTAAGATCATTATTTCTAAGATTTTTTCGATTTTTACTTAAGAGTTTTCTTCTCATATACACTTTTCCATAAATTGAACTTGGGTATTTTTGACTATTGGAAGTAATTATTATTTGTTATTTGCATGTTTCTTTTCTGTAAACCATATTTTATCTATAACAATATGCTTCCTAACACATTTTAGTCATGGTTCCAATGAAGAAAAAAAAGAAAGTGCGCCTTATTCTTTATTGTTGTGTGATTATTCTCTAGTTTTTCGTCAAAACTTCACATCTTTCTCCTTTCTTGACTAATTTATTTATCTTAGTGCATAGTTTATTTATTCGTTGAATTATTCATTTATAATCTTCTTTGACTGTGAAGACAATGAAAAAAATATGTAAAACTCATCTTTTCGATAAGTTGTTCTTCTTTTCACAAAAAAAAACATTTCCAACTTATCTAAATCTTTCTGTTTAATCCATGAGTTTAAGAATAAAAAAAGTGCGCGTTGCGTTCTGTTTCTACACTCCATGTGTGTGTGTCTGTGTGTGTTTAAGATTGCTTCCGTATAAATCTCTTCATGCATGGAAATATGTTTACTGAACATTTAATTCTTTAAAAGTATACATCAAATTTCTCGCCTTTATTTTTCTCTTTACTGTTTTGTGATGAGCACATATAAAATTGGTCTCTTTTCTTTCCGTATTTTTGTTAAGAAAAAAAAAACACTATTGTGTGTATGTCTAGGTTTCTACTGATCGATGTGAACGTATACATCATTGGCGTTTTTTTGGCTCATAGCCAAGTTGACTGTCTATTAATTTAAAGATATTTCTCATACTAATCGCTCTCTTTTTGTCTGTATCTGTTGTTATTCTATCAACTCATACATACACGTGTATGTGTATGCATGTGTGTATCACTTTAAAACGCGGATAGTGATGCTGGTACTGATATCATATACTGTAATGTACAAAAATGCAAACTAATATCATGTGATAACATTGTTTTACGTTAATGTAGTACATGATTCCTCTGGTTATTATATAAACTTTTACACTGCTGAGTACATATGCATTACACTTAGTGTACTTGTCCGTGTAATGAATTCATTATGAGACATTTACTAAAATATTATTTATGTGGTGTTGACGTAATCTTTTGGTTCATCTTCAGAATCACTAATCCTTCAATTTATATTAATAGTGGCAGGTGGACTTTATCTGCAGCAATAGTGTTTACTTGGTTACTGAATGATATTAACATTGTTCTAAAAGTGGATTTATGAATCCATACATGTCAATATAGTTAGCAAACTTGTAATTCATGATTGATGTTGGACTATTTAAATATCATACCGTAATTTTCTTCTTATGGGGACATAGCTAAAGAATTACACTTCGTTCAGTAGCTGTTTCTTTTTAGTTTTAAAGTCGTTCATCAACTGTAAGCATCCACGTTGACCAGATCAAAATCCAGGATTTCCAAATCTTGCAGCCAACAGGATACCTTTGAAACATTGTGTCGATAGTTTATACTTTTTTCGCATAAGGTGAATTCCTAATGGACTGGGAAAACGCCTAAAAAATATAAATGATACGCGGAACAGATTGATATTCTTGAGATTGATCCAGTGATCTACATGTTTTATGTAAGACCGTAGTTTTGTGGTCAAAGACCCCGACCCTCCAATGACTGATTTCGTCCAAATTCTGCAACTAGGTGGTGGTATTTGGGGCTCGTCAGGTGGATGCACATTTCGTATCCCAGTATTGATGTTCACTCTTAGGTTTGAACTTAATACTTTTCGCTTCGAACACTCAGCGCATTACTTACTGAGTTACTGATTTCAGATAGCTGCTAGTTTGTATAACGACTACAAATCACAGTTTTTCCTTGTTTAATCCTAAGAACTCCAATTAATCACTCTCTTATGATTGTCTTTGAAAGCGACAAACCATTACAAGTAATATGCTTAATTGTTGTTTGCAGAAAAGCGAATCTAGGTTTTCATTACTCTTGTTTTTCCCCCTTTTTTAATACAGCAAATCGATGTGGACAGTCTGATATAAACCGATTAATTGAAGAAAAGGCTTCAACTGAATCACAAGTGAATTTTCTCAATTCCATCATTGTTGATCTACATGCCAAAAATGCTGAACTAGAATCTCGTGTAAGAGCAATGCTTGTCGGAACAGATGAACAACTAGAGTAAGTTGATATTATTAGTTAAATAATTTGAAGTGTTATTGATTGTTGAAAAAATTACTGTACATTAAATATGACGTGAATAACAAGTTGAGGTATCTCATTAACGTCACATATATTCGTAATATCGTGCTTAGTGGATGGGGAAAATGGATTTTTGACGTTTTATATTCGTTATTTTTTTCAACGAAAAAATAATTTCACAGTTACATTGTAAAATGAGAGAGATAAAGAAAGTAACACCTTAATAATGGTCATCTAGAAATATCTTCCAAAAATCTATAAACTCTTAGCTTTGAAGTCCTGTAGATATGTTTACTTATTATGTGAATATTCTCTCAACTCACACATATTTCAAATAAAGCAAAGCAATTTTGAATCAAATCATCCATTTTCACTGTGAATCTCATCTTCACGTACACTTTGTGATATACATAGAGCTGCGCATTAAATGCCACTCATATTTAGTCACTGTCAATAAATGTGACATTGAAATGTTTATATTTGTCTGTCATTCATTGATATTTTAATTAGATTAGTTCGTTTTACAGTCTTTTCCTATGGTAATGTATAAAAGTTACTTACTTTTCTGAAGAAAGATTTTCCAAGAGGTTGCTAAATAATAGAAATTCATATTTTCTTCTATATCTTTATAAATCCACAATTATACTTTATCAGTTAGTTCACAGTATGTTCGATCGCTTAACTTCAGCATTCTTACTACCGATATTTTTTTACTTTCATTGTTGGCAAAAAGATAGTGAATATCTTTGTAAGCCCTGGGTACTCTAATGTTTTGCTACACACACATACTTTCTTTTGTCTTTCGTACTAACTAGGCATAAGATTAAAATGTGGTATGTCTATAGGACGTGTTGTTTGGTTGATATTTTGTTACGTTTGTTCATTACTTCTGATGATACTAATTTTGAAATAATAAAGAAGATTCGGAACTCATATAAGTGTTGTACATAGGTCATTTCGTTGTTACTATCTCTCCATTTACAAAATGCTGACTGAAGTAGGACTAAATTGAAAAAAAGAACTATGTGGTGTTACCCAAGATTTCCCAGTTATATTCAGAAAAATTACTCAGGATTAAACACTTATTATTTATCATCCATAAATTATGAATATTTTATTATTTATTCAGTTTTCTCTTTTTCAACCCTAATCCCTTAGATTTTTTAAAAATATTTGTGTATGTTTATTGTCAAATCTTTTCTACGATTGTTTTATTTATTGTATGTAAATAAGTTTCTTTTGGATACTATGCAGTGATCTTCCGTATTGTCTGCAAATTGCTTATTTAAATGAACGCTACTCGATGAGGATTGAATAAACTATGGCTCTTCTACATAAATACTATTCATTGTTCATAAATAAAAGTTATATACTGTGAAAGTATCAATGAAATCTTTGTTTTTTACTCAATCACATAGGAGTAAGTTACTTAAGAAAACCGTACGTATGTTAAAAGAATTCGCTGTTTTCAAATGGAAAATTACTATTATTACCATTATCATAATGTGTATTGTTTTGCACAACTGTTGAAGTATTATTATTGTGGATTCATGTAGACTTTGTAAAATTTGTAAGCGATCTTCATACTGATATTGATATTTACTTTTTCCTAGATTAGTGCTTCTAAGTAGTGCTCATTCAAAACTACACATAGTATTTAACATAAAACTTTAATTAATCCATGATCTTATAGCACTGTCCTTATACAATGTTGTCAATTAATTGCTGTAAAAATCTAGTCTCCTGGAATTCCACAGATCATGGGTTCTCATTAAAACAACAATGAATGCGTCTCGAGGTCATTCACTAATAAGGTTACTACGGTTACTACTTACTAATGTGTGATAGTGGAAGTAAATGTGATTGGTTACTGAGTGTGGACAAACAAGCACGCAACTTACTGACTATTAAATATGTGACTTTTTTCCTCTTAGTGACTTCCACTCCATAATCTATGAGAGTGACTGCTTGTTATTGTGTTGAATGAAGCATTGTCTACCATTATTCTGGTTCTCTATTTTGGTCGCAAATCTGGCCTCTTATGTAACGTCATCTAGTCTGCATATATCGGGTTGTTCGAGTATCCAATCTGGCGGTATTGTAAATCCAACCATCCAATCCATCCTAGTAGCGTGGTATACCGAAGAGAAAAAGGCTTAAAATCGTTCGTTGTATCACTTACTAAACAAATTTCATATATCATAAAATATAGTCCTTTTTTGCGTGTGAATGTGAAACTAAGAGTTATTCGATGGTAGAATGAAACTTCTTCCATCCCTTTTAATATTGAGCTGATCAATTACCTGGTTAATGTTGTTTACTTCTTAGTGGAATATGAATTAATTTATCGTTCTAAGATACGAAACTGTTTTTCTTTTCAATT